ACCTTATGGCATTCATTCCCGGACACAAGGGCTCAGGTGGTCTGAAGTCACTGAGTGACACATGCCAGCCCACCCAGCGCTGCTGGCCCGATCACTCCATTTAGGACGCCCTCCCCACCGGCAGCCTCCACTGGATGGAGGCCGACCCAGCCGCGGCTTCCCGCTCCGCCCCTCTGCCTCCCTTTTCAACAGTTCCCCAAGGGAAGTGGTGACCAGTATAAATAAAGACACCAACTGAGTGGCCGTGTCGCCGTCTGCTTTCTCAGCCCCCAGAGGGGGCTGCAGCCCAAGCCAGAAGAGGAAACTGAAAAAGAGCCAGTGTGCCCCGGGAGGGGTAGGGATGGTGCGTGCCGAAGACATCAGAGCTGCCAAAAGAAACCGCGGGAGCCCACCTCAGGCTGGGCGGGGCTGGGGGGGTCTCTGATGCGCATGCGCAAAGCGCTCCACCCAGCTGCAGGCTGAATGATACCTGAGGCTCCGGGCTCGGTTTTCTCTCTCGGTCTGTTTCTTAATAGTGATACCTGTCCCAATGCTGGCGCTGACAGTGAGCAGCAACCGTGTCACCCTGCTTCATTAGCAACCTGCTGCGTGCCAGGTACTCTACATGCATCATTTAATTTAACCTTTACAACCACCTCAAGAGGGAGAGACTATTTTAGCTAGTTGAAACCAGGGCCAGAGACAAGTGGTCTGCCCAGGGTCCTGTAGTGTTAGGTAACAGAACAGAGGCTAGGCCAGAGGATGACCTAGAGGAGGAACTCGACCCTCAGCCCAGAATCTCCAACAGCAACATGGCCCTCCACCTACCCCACAAGACCTTCCCCAGTCACCCTGCAGGACAGTAACGTGCTTGCTTTCTGAACACAGATGCTGTGATCAGAACCAGGTGAGCTCACTCGGCCTTCTGGCCAGGCTACCCGCCCCTGCTCTCCTCCATAGAAGTCCCCCAGCTGCTGCCAAACAGCAGCTCAAGGCCTGGATTCTTTTCAGAGGTGCCTGCCAGCTCCAGCTGTCGTCTGATAGTCTGATGCCTCCAGGCCTTTCCTGGTGGGGCTGGTGGGGAAACAGGTGAGCAGTGCTCAGGACAGCTCGGGGGTGACCTCAGTGGACCGAAAGTGATCTTTTCTTTTATCAAAGCCTGCCTACTGATTTGTGTTCTTGATCGCCCCGAACAGACACACTTTCTGCAGGTATCTGACTAAAGAGCCCCAGCATATGCTGCCATTGAAGGTATTAGGAAGTCCTACTTGAAGACCACCTAGCCTGGGAAGCTTACATCATAGCTCTCATACACTGCTAATCAGGATCTCTGTTACACTGAGAGAAATTTCAGCTGATCCTCAACATGCCACTTCTTGAGTGGTTTTCTATGTACATTACACCTGATTTAATCCTTACTATAATCCTATGGGGGCAGGAATTAATCCCTTTGATGAGGCAAGGAGCTCAGAGAGGTTAAGTGACTAACTCAAGGCTGCACAGCTCTCTGATAGGGTTAGATGATTCTGAGATTCAGAGGTGGATACATTTAGAGGAGGAGCTATACCAATGCCCACATTGATTTTTTTCCTGGTTCCCGGCCTGCTGCAAGCAGAGTTTATCAGTAGGGATAAGTGTTTTTTTTTTTTTTTTTAATTTGTCTTAATTAGTTATACATGACAGTAGAATGCATTTATGCACTTTGATATATCATACATAGATGGGATATAATTTCTCATTTTTCTGAGTGTACATGTAGTGGAATCACATTGGTCATGTAGTCACATAATTACATACAGTAATAATGTCTGTTTCATTCTACTACCTTTCCTATCCCCACATCCTCTCCCCTCCCCTCCCTTCACTTCCCTCTACCTAATCTAAGGTAACTCTATTCTTCTCTAGTGCCCCATCCCCCTTGTTGTGTATTAGCATCTGCATATTGGAGAAAACATTCGGCCTTTGGTTTTTTGGGATTGGCTTATTTCACTTAGCATTATAGTCTCCAACTCCATCCATTTACTGGCAAATGCCATAATTCCATTCTCCTCTAAAGCTGAGTAATATTCCACTGAATATATATATCACATTTTCTTTATCCATTCATCTATTGAAAGACACTAGGTTGGTTCCAATGTTTGGCTATTGTGAATTGAGCTTCTATAAACATTGACGTGGATGCATTACTGTAGTATGCTGATTTTAAGTCCTTTGGGTATAAGCCGAGGCATGGAATAGCTGGGTCAAATGGTGGTTCCATTCCAAGTTTTCTGAGGAATCTCCATACTGCTTTCCATAGGGGTTGCACCAAATTGCAGCCCCATCAGCAATGTATGAGTGTGCCTTTTCCCCCATGTCCTTGCCAACATTTATTGTTGCCTATATTCTTGATGATTGCCATTCTGACTGGATTGAGATGAAATTTTAGTGTAGTTTTGATTTGCATTGTTCTAATTGCCAGACATGTTGAACCTTTTTCTTATTATATTTGTCAACTGATTGTATTTCTTCTGTGAAGTGTCTGTTCAATTCCTTAGCCTATTTATTGATTGGGATATTTATTTTTTTGGTGTTAAGTTTTTTTTTTTTTGGTTCTTTATATATCCTAGTGATTAATGCTTTATCAGAGGTGCATGTGGTAAAGATTTTCTCCTAATCTGTAGGCCCTCTTCTCACATTATTGATTGTTTGCTTTGCTGAGAAGAAGCTTTTTCGTTTGAATCCATCCCATTTATTAATCCTTGATTTTACTTCTTGTGTTTTAGGGGTCTTGTTAAGGAAGTTAGATCCTAACTTCACCTACATGGTGAAGATTTGGGCCTATTTTTTCTTCTATTAGGCACAGGGTCTCTGTTCTAGTACATAAGTCTTTGATCTACTTTGAGTTGATTTTTGTGCAGGGTGAGAGAGAGAGGTTTAATTTCATTTTGCTACATATGAATTTCCAGTTTTGCCAGCACCATTTGTTGAAGAGACTATCTTTTCTCCAGTGAATGTTTTTGGCACCTTTGTCTAGTATGAGATAACCGTATCTATGTGGGTTATTCTCTGTGTCCCCTATTCTGTCCCATTTGTCTATAAGTTCATTTTGCTGCCAATACCATGCTGTTTTTGTTTCTATAGCTCTCAGCCAAGTTCTATAAGACTTTCAAAGAAGAATTAACACCAGTGCACCTCAAAGTATTCCATAAAATAGAAAAGGAGGGAACCCTTCCAACTTATTCTATGAGGCTAATATCACTCTGATACCAAAACCAGACAAAGACACATCAAGGAAAGAAAACTGCAGACCAGTATTCCTGATGAACATAGATGCAAAAAATCTCAATAAAATTCTGGCAAATCAAATACAAAAACATATCAAAAAGATAGTGCACCATGATCAAGTGGGATTCATCCCAGGGATGCAGGGTTGGTTCAACATATGGAAATCAATAAATGTAATTCATCACATTAATAGATGTAAAAACAAGAATCATATCTTCATCTCAATAGATGCAGAAAAAGCATTTAACAAAATACAGTACACTTTCATGTTTAAAACACTAGAAAAACTAGGAGTAGTAGGAACAGACCTCAACATTGTAAAAGCTATTTATGCTAACCCCAAGGCCAGCATCATTCTAAATGGAGAAAAATTGAAAGCATTCCCTCTAAAAACTGGAACAAGGCAAGGATGTCCTTTTTCACCACTTCTATTCAACATCACCCTTGAAACTCTAGCCAGAGCATTTAGACAGAAGAGAGAAATTAAAGGAATACAAATAGGTAAAGAAGAACTCAAACTATCACTATTTGCTGATGACATGATTCAATATCTAGAAGACCCAAAAAATTCCACCAGAAAACTTCTAGAACTAATAAGTGAATTCAGCAAAGAAAGAGCAGGATATAAAATCAACAGCTATAAATCAAATGCATTCCTATATATTAGTAATGAATCCACTGAAAGAGATATCAGAAAAACTACCCGAATCCACAATAGCCTCAAATAAAATAAAATACCTGGGAATCAATCTAATAAAAGAGGTGAAAGACCTCTACAATGAAAACTACAGAACCCTAAAGAAAGAAATTGAAGAAAACCTCAGAAGGTGAAAAGATCTCCCATGTTCCTGGATAGGCAGAATTAATATTGTCAAAGTGGCCCTACTCCCAAAAGCATTATACATATTTAATGCAATTTCTATTAAAATGCCAATGACATTCTTCATAGAAATAGAAAAACCAATCATGAAATTTATCTGGAAAAATAAGAGACCCAGAAGAGCCATCTTCATTCTTTCACTCTAGGCGCTCGGAGATCAATCCATTGGTCTCAGGTCCTGGAACAACCCCTGTGTCCCCTGGCCCTCACCCATCAAGGCCCAGACAGGCCCCTGTACTTCCTCAGGTCGAAATGGAGCCACGCCCAAATCGTTCCCTTTTTCTCAGTCAGGTTCCTCATCTACTGTGGAAGTCAACTTGTTTTTGCCTTTTCTAGTAGCAGCCCCGTTACATCCTCTGGGGAACCATTCCCCAGTCATCCCATAAGATTTATGAGGAGCATTTTCCATCCCTGGTACGAATGTCTATATTAGCCTACAAACTTGGAACTCAAACTGGTTTACACAAGAGCAAAGCACCCTAGTGATTTCAATTCACTTGCGGGAACAGCCCAGGGGAAGGTGTTGCTCCTAGCCTTGTTGGATTTACAGGAGGCAGTAAGGATCATGAACACAGCTCATGGCCAGAACAGTAAGACAAAGTGAAACCCCAGATTTGCCTGACCCTAAAGCAGAGAACTCCGCCTAAAGTGTCGTCCCTGGTTGGAGCATTAAGGTTACAAAGCTACCCTTCACCGTCATCTTGTTGAAAGAAAGCAGTCATCTCCGAGGGGGCGGGGCTAGATTACTGAGGAGGAGGAGCCAGGTACCTAAGGGAGGCGGGGCCACAGCCCAGAGGCGGGGCAGCCGGCGCCTAGGTAATTTTGGCGCGTGCGCAGAGGGCCCGGAGCGGCGCCTCGGGCTGGGACTCCTGAGGGGCTGCAGCTGGGTCTGGGCTGGGGCGCTGGCCTGCGCGCTCGGCTTCCTTCGCTGCGCTCGGGTGCCACGCCCAGCTCGGCCATGAACCGGTGCTCCGAGGCGGCGGCGGTGGCGGCCACCGTGCCAGGCTCGGGCGTCGGGGCCGCAGAGCATCGGCCGCCCATGGTGCCTCGCCAGGCGTCCTTCATCCCGCCGCCGGTGCCCAACCCCTTCGTGCAGCAGACGGGGCTCGGCACGGCCAGGCTGCTGCAGGTGAGCGGCGGGGCGCGGGTGACCGAGGGGGGCGGCCTGCGGGAAAGGGGGCAGTCCCCCGGGGGCGTCCGAGGGCCGCGGGTCTGGGGGTGGAGGACGCTGCGGGCGGGAGAAGCGCAGGTGCGGAGGAGGCAGGTCTGAGAGGAGCCTCTGGAGGCCAAGAGGCTGAGCGGGCGGAGACCCACCTTGCCCGAGCTGGGCGATCCGGCTGGATTGGACGTGAGGGAGGTGGTGGAGGCAGACCTACCTCTGGAGAGTGGGCTTGGGGAAGGGTTTTTTTTTTTTCCTTTTGCCTTGGGATGAGTAAGGAGGGAGAAGGCTGGGAGTTAGAACAGGTAAGGCTGGAATGATCTAGCTGAGCTGGGACATCCTGGCTAGAAATTCAGAATCGAGAAAGAGGGGTGACTTATTAGACGTATCCGTTTAGGGCGTTTGAGGGTTTCCCATCTTCCATCAGCTTTCACCCAAACATTTTTCCTAGATTCCAGGATGAGGGGGAGCCACTGTTAAAAGTAGCTGTTCCCACAAAGGAAATTTGCTTTCCTTCCCTTATCTGATAAAGGACTGCTTTTACGCAGTCTCGCTTTTTGGACTTCCTCTTGATGAAATTATTGATTGAAGAATAAGATAGACTCTACAAGATATACTTGTCCTGTGTGTCCTGCAGGGGAATAATTTTTTAATTTTTATTTTCTTTCCCTGTCTGTCTCACAGATTTCATTATTTTGGATTGAAGGAGTGTAATTTTGAATTCTTTTTGTATGCACAGCTGAGACTATTGTGCTGTCCTGTGAGGGCAGGTTTAGTGCTGAGCTAAGCAGTATCGGATGGTAGGATAATGGGAGGTAGATGTCTGGTTGAAAAGAGTATGAGAAAGGAAGAGAAAGGAAGGGTCGTGGTAATACCTCCTTGTAAAGAAACTAGTTTGAAAGTTGATCTGTGTCTTTAAATGGACAGATGTTCCCTTGGTAGCTTGACATGACTGCAGCACTTCTAAATACTTTGACCATTCAGATTAAATTTAGTCAGATCAGTCATGTGTAAATGGAAAGTATGTTCACCTATTGGCTTCGTATTTTGGAACAAGGTTCAATGTGGCGTACTTATAAATATTTGTATTGCACCTACAGTAGATTACTAATTTTGGTGTGTGTTGTTGTTGTTGTTGTTGTCTGTTTTTAATCACCTGGTCTGTGACTGTTTAGAATGGCTTTGAAAGGACTCTTATAAGAGCTGTGGTGGATTGGAGAGGCACTAGTCTTAGAAGACTTAGGCATTAATATTAGCAGTGTGACTTGGCCAAGTCACGTAATCTCCCTGAACTATTCATCTATTAAATTGAAATAATAAACCTCAAAGGAAGGTTAGAATTAAGTGAGATAGTGTATGCTGATCTTAATATTGATCATTATGCTATTAGTTGTCTATAAATTATATATATTATTAAAATTCGCTTAGATTGAATGAGTTGAACATGGTCTGATCATTAAATTTTTTAAATCTCTCTTGATGAATGATACCAAAGATGTTGGAATGGCTTGAATGTTCTGGGTAAAGATGAAAAAAAAAATTTTTTATTTTTATTTTATTTTATTTTTTTGGTGTGAGAGATTGAACCCGGAGACACTTAACCCCTGAGCCACATCCTTAGCCAGTAAAGAGTAATGGCTGAGAACAGTATTGTCTGTATTATTTATTTTAAAGGATGGACATACTTTCATTCAAGAATGACAAATTAATACTTAAGAGGATTTAGTCAGATTCAAATCAGACAATGAATGATGACTAGTGTCTTACTTAAGAACTGTTGTCACTTTTGGAACTCATTATAGGGCTTAATTTCATCCCTGGTCCATTTTTTGACTACTTAAGAGTTTGTTATTTTGTGGCATGGAAAAAAAGTAGCTTCCTTTTTATGTCCTCAGTTGAGAGCAGAATTGAAATGAGCTTTTGGTTGTAATTTGGGGGCCATTCATTCAGACCAAAAATATTTGTTGAATGCCTCTACTAGGTGTAGTGCTAATATCTGAGGATAGAGCAGTGAGCTACAGAAATACGGCCTGCTCATCTAACGCTTATGTTTCACTGAGAAAGTTAAAAAACAAGTACAAAATATATAATTCCATGTGTTAGTGCAATAAAGGCCAAACAAGATCTCTCCTAGTAATAGTTCTGGAGCTCCTCCATGTCTTGTTTATTCATAATTTATCTTACAGAAAATAGAATGATAGCTAAGTTTTACTGTATTCATAAGTCAGTTTTTCAGGTGAAGAAATTTAACAGGGTTAGTTCTGGTCCCAGGGATGGTGGAGTACTAGTAGCTTAAACTGAACAAATCTTCTCATAGATTACAATGATTAGTCCTATAAGAAACTATATGAAGGTACTCTGGAGAAAAAAAAAAAAGACAGAAACTGGAGGAGATTTGTTCCTATACTGTGTGAAATTTCCCTGTGTCCCCTCTTTTTTTCCCCAGGGTTCTCTCTTGATACCATGGGAGGGATTGGTAGAAAGCTTCAGTCTTATTGGTCTTTTGTGCAAGAGGACAGAGAACAGAGTTCATGGCAGTCAGAGCGACTAGAAATTGAGGAAGGAAGTACCAGAAAGGAGGAAGCTAGAGAGGAAGGAGCCCCTTAATTGGCATGTAAATTCCTCCTACATTCTCAGCAGATCCCTAAACTGTATTTGCACAAGAGCCTTCAGGGATTCTGGAAGGAAGGAAAAACTAGAAGGATAAAGAAGCTGATCACACATGCTAACCATGCCTCCCCTGTGGTGGTTACAGGGAAAAGAATAAGGTTGGGACTCCATCAGAAAACCATTCCCAGAGAAATGTCATCATCTGCCCTGGCTGGTGGCTGCCTGCATGACTACATTTGCAAGGCTTCTTTGGACCTGCAGTGGGGCTCATCCAGCACAGCCTTTTCTCAGTGTGTTTTGAAAAACGATCAGAGGCACTTGTTTAACATTACAGCTGCCCACATATTTAGACATTGAACTGAACACTTTAAAAGAGTTCCTGGGTCAAAAAAGAAATCACCAGTGAAAATTTTAAAATGTTTTAAACTAAATAGAAAATGAAAATCCAAAATACCAAAATTATGGGATTCAGGGAAAGCAATGTATAGAGGTAAATGAACAGATTTAAATACTTAAATAACAGTTTTAAAAGTAGTGATTTTAAGTTCTCACTTCCAGAAGCTAGAAGGATGATAAATTACACAAGAAGTAACTCAAAGCAAGAACATGAATACAAGAGATGAAATTGAAAGCAAACCACAAAGAAAGTCAACTAATTCAAACGTTTGGTTGGTATACTAATAAAATAGAATAAGTTAAGAAAATTGTTATATCCCCACCAAGACTGATAAATGAGAAAATACAAATTACCAGTATCAGGAATGAAAAAAACATATTTCGTTACAGATTAAATGACTATTAAGAGATTATTATCAAAACTTGAAACATGTAGGAAAGGACAAGAATCCATCCAGTACAACAAAATGAATAGAAGAACTAGAAAATGTGACTAGATCTTTATGAAAGAATTTGAATTGCACACACACATTTAAAGAAAACTCCTTGCCAAGATTATTTCACTTTATAAATTCTGTCAGACTTTTAAGAGCACAATAAAACACTTACACAAGTTCTTTCAGAAAGTAGAGAAGGGTGGAATACTTCCCAACAAGTTTTATGTGGTTAGCATCACCTCAATACCAAAATCTGAAAAAGATATTACAAGAAAAGAAAATTATAGACCAATATCTCTCATGGTTTTAGATATAAGATCTCTTAACAAAATGTCATCAGGTCAAATACAACAATATTTGGGAAGTATAATATATCACATATATTCCAAGTTTGATTTGTCTCAGTAATCCAAGGTTAATTTAACATACCAAAATTTCAATTTCAGTGTAATTTACCTTGTTAGCAGAATATATAGTAAAAATCTATGATCTTCTCAGATACAGAAATTTTGTTGCTCACTTGATAAAATTCAACACCCACTGATGATAATAAAAAAATGTTCTCAATAAAGGAGGAATAAAAGGAAACTTTTAACTTGATACAGGATATTTATGAAGTACTTCCTATTAATATAATGTTTTCCCCAAAGGTTGGGAACAAGGCAATTATCTTGTTCACCATTTCTATTCAGCACTGAACTAGGGGTGCTAGTCAGTGCAATAAGACAAGAAAAAGTAAAGAAAGCATAGACCAGAAAGAAAAGTGTACACCTGTCTTTATTCAGAGATGAGCACATGGTTGTGTATAAAGAACTTTCTAAGGAATCTACAAAACAACTAACCACTAGAACTAATAAATCAAGTTGGCTAGGTCATAGGAAATAAGATCAGAACTTAAAATCAATTTTATGTCTATACCCCACGAGGATACAGTTGTAAAATGAAATTAAATAATCGCATGTATAATAACAATAACAATAATAAGAATAAAATGACCTTACATACTTAATGCTTTTAACCAAGACCTTGTAAGACTACTACACTGAAAACAACAAAATATTGCTGTTAGAAATTAATGAAGACTCATGTAAGTGGAAAAAATAAATCATGTTTATGAACCATCAGAACCAATGTTATTAAGAGGACAGTTCCTTCCAGATTTGTCTATAGATTTATTGAAATCCCAATAAATAGATTTGATTGTGTCTGGCAAGCTGATAAATTAATTCTGAAGTTTATGTGGAAGTGTAAAGGATCTAGAATACCTTACTCCCCAGAAAATGTTGAAGCAGAAAAAGTTGTATGTCACATACAACCTGATTTCAAGATTTATTTCAAAATAACACTAATTAGACAGTTGGGTGTCGACAGAAGGATAGATGAATGAATAGATTATATTCGTTCATACTCATAGGTCTATGCTCTTGATAAAACTCATATAGAGTTTAAAAGAGATGCCTTTTATTTTATGTAAATTGTCCCTTAACAAGTTGATTTTTCAAAAAACTACCAACAACAATGATTGGCCAGGATATACAGCAATGTAATTCTCACACACTGCCAGGGATACTTTAAAATGATACAACTACTTTGGAAAACTGTTAGTTCCTTATAACGTTAATTAACATCTATGGCTGAGCAATTCCACTCCTAGAAAACTGAAGACATATATTTACAGAAAGGCGTGTTTCAGAGTGTTCACAGTGGCTTTATCAGTGAACAGATCATCAAAGGGTTATACAGTGGGATAATACTCTGCAGTCCAAAAGAATGAATTACTGTTATGCAAAACAACACAGTTGAACCAAGAAATATGTTAAGTGGAGGGAGCATGCCATATAAGGTTACGTCACATGATTCCATTTGTGTGACATTCAAGAACACATCCGTCTAAGCAGTGGTGACAGAAATTCATCCTCTGTTGCCCAAGAGCATAGGCAGGGACTGGAAGAGGCACAAGCTGGCTTTCCAGAGTGGTAGTATGTTCCATGTGTTGACTTGGGTGGCAATTACATGAGTACATGCCGATCAAGATCAAGGTCACTGAATTACACAGTGAAGACCTGACCTTTTTCTTTTATGTATGTTTGAACCAGACATACACATGCACTCAAATAATTTGGCAGAGATCAGGTAACTAGAATACTTTTTGCATTTTTTATAAGTTATTTGATGACATAGAGCTAGTAGAGATAGAAAGAGGCACTGTTAGATAGTGTAATTTTTTATGTAAAAAAAAAGACAGTGCATTATACCTAAGGAGAATTTATTTCACTTGAAAGGCAATGTGGTATAAGCAAAGGCCACCAAACTGGGTTCAGATCCTGGTTCTGCCATTTACTAACTATATGATCTTATTAAGTAATTTAATTTAACCCTCTGTACCACTTCTGTCTTTGACATCAGATTGCAGTTAAATGAATTACTATGTGCCAGTGTTTACAGCCTGAACCTGTAGGAAGCATTCATGTATGATTTGCTGTTCTTATTTGCATTACTTATTTTTTCTTTTATTTTCTCCTCCTCCATCTCCTTATTGTTAGGGCCGGCAGGCATATTCAATAGCACACTCACTTTCTCGAACATACTCTGGTGCCTCCATTCACATTCTTCCTTCAACCTGTAGCTGTCAAATAACAGTTTCTCCCTCTTATCTTGCTAGTACTTGCAAGACCATTCAGCACCTCCTCCAGGAAGCTTTCCCTGACTGCCAAATCAGACACCCCTTTCTCTGTCCCCTCAGCCTCTCCATTCACTCTGGTCAGTGTACAGATCAAGCTCTCTTCAGGTTTTCATCACTCTTTCTTCAGTATGTGATTGGCTTTGTGAGGTCAAACGCCATGGCTTGTTCTTCTCTGTTTACATTCTAATGTGGGCAGCACAGTACCCAGATCATCTGTGGGTAGATGCATGAATAGCATTAAGCTTTCCTATTGCGTGTTTCAGCTCCATAGCAACATGTTAAAATGACGTCATTCGATCTGTTTTTATCCACTTTGACTTTCAGGCTTTCCTTCTTGGAATCATCCTGCTCCCACTTCGGGTCATTTTGATTGGATTGCTTTTCTTATTATCTTGGCCATTTGCCGCCGCCTTCATAGCTTGCTGTCCCGAGAAGCCGACTTACCCAGTGACCGACTGGAGACGGTAAGAAACACGTAGTCCAGATATCAGGTAGATCCAGATGACAAAAAATCACTGATGAGTATTTTTATTTAACTTACCCAAATTTAATAATTCATTTCTTTGATAAAACGGACCTTAATTTATGTAGAAATTACTGCCCAAACACATTTCTGTTAATCATCTGTTGACGTTATGATTTTCTTATGTTAAAAGACTTTGTTTTCTGAATTATTGCCAAAAATGATAATCCTAGTGGCACATGCTGTAATCCCAGTGGTTTGGGAGGCTGAGGCAGGAGGATTGCAAGTTTAAAGCTAGCCTCAGCAATTTACAAAGGCCCTAAGCTACTTAATGAAATCCTGTCTCTAAATAAAATGGGAAAAAAAGGGCCGGGGTGGTACTGGGGATGATGTGGCTCAGTGGTTAAGCGCTCCTGAGCTCAATCCCTGGTACAGAGAGAGAGAGAGAGAGAGAGAGAGAGAGAGAGAAAGAGATATCAATCCCCGTTTCTGATAGTCAATCAGTATACCTGCATATATTTCTTTATTTTTAATTTTTATACAGTGCTGAGGATCAAACCCAGTGCCTTACATGTGCAGGCGAGCACTCTACCACCTGAGCTACAACCCCAGCACCAGTATACCTGCAAATATTGCAACTGTAAAACAGTTTGCTATATTTTGCTTTTCCTATTTTCACAATTGATTTGGTCTCCCCACAGTAACAAAATGATTTCTGCAGGGACATATAAGTGTATCAATTATATTATTTTTCCTTAATTTCTTTAGTGATTATCATTAATACAGATTAATCATTAATGCAGTCTAACTCTTCCAGATGTTAACATTTTATGTTAGACTTCCTTTCTGCCACAGTTAGGTTGGCATCAAGAACAGACTAATCCTAATGAATGAAGCTGCTGATGAACGTTCATTCGGGTTGGGCAGAGCCAAATGGTCGCCACCTGTGTGTCATCAACGTGGGGCTTCCTGATGTGGATTCCACATCCATAGATCTGTTTTAGGACACTAGTGAACTCTCTTGAAATTTTGTACCGATTTTCCGTCCCCATCACACAAGGATATGTTCCTTAATCCAAATCTCAAATGTGGATACGTCCTCCAAAAATTTTGAGAAATACTGTTCTAGAAACTTTTAAGGATGTGCAGTTTTCTGTTCAGTGCATGTTCTAGTGAACTAATGTCAATATCAAACATGAGGCTGGTTTGAAGTGGAGATGAACCCCGTGCTGGCAGATCATGATGCTCTGTGTCATAACTCAAGACAACACTTCAAGGGACGTTTTTCATGATTCTCCAATTTTTTTCAGATTATCTTTTTGGTTTCTATTGTTTCTATTCTTATGTAAGCCTAGGAGGATGGGAGAAGTAGCCTTCAGAATCCAAAAAATAAATATAATAAATAGTAGAAAATAAAGTTTTACCTTTCTCTGTGAAAATAGTTATCACTAACTCCTCTCAAAGTCTGTGGCCTCAAACTTTAATGTTTAAAACATTTAAATGTCAGTGTCTAATGGCTCTGAATAGGGGATACTTGGAAATGTTTGAAAGTTGGTGAAGGGGTGCACTTCATACCCATTATGAATAGAGATTTCCTGTCCAAACTAAAGGGGAAGAGGAGAGCTGTGTTATTTCCGGAGCTCTTTGGAAAAGTACTTTGGTTTTCTGTGTCTCACTTTTTGCTAAGAAATAAAAGTCACAGACTTCCCCAGAGGCTAGCTGCTGATAATTCCTCTGTATTATTACCAGAAAGTTGACGTAGGTCAGAAGCCCATTTTTGATTGCTCTCCTTAGATACCTTGCGAGCAGTATGTAGTCACCCCTCCACATCTGCAGACTCAACCAACTGTGGATCAAAGATATCGGAAATATACATCTGTACTGAACAAGTGCAGACTCTTTTGCTTGCTATTATTCCCTATACAATGCAGTTTACTACCTATTTACGTAGCAATTACATGAATTAGATCTTATAAATAGGCTGAGGCAATTTAAAATCAAGGTTATACGCAGGTATCATTATATACCATATTATTTAAAAGGCATGAGCATTTGAAGACTTTTTATCCACAAGGGTTGCCCATGGATACCAAGGGACAACTGTGCATATTTTATTTTACTTATCATGAAAAGCTGTATACTTAATTCATTTATGAAAATCTCCAGTCTGTGTTTGTGCTCCTGGGAATCTGCTTGGGTTTCCTCCTCCGGCAAGCTTATCAAGTCAGAGATTTCTTTTACCTGTCTTGGGTGTCCACCATGGGCCCAGGCAGGATTTTAATGAATGAATTAGTCTCCCGTGGCAGAATCTTTTTAAAAAGTAAACAACTAGATTTCTGGAATCCCTTAGGTGCTTCTCTGGTCCATGGAAGTAAGATGGTAAATTCATTTCTGAAGTTGTTTTCAAGATACAAATTTATTTCCTGAAGCATGGGGGTTGCTGGGGAGCAAAGCCAGGGCCTTCAGGCACTTCAGCAAGCACTCTGTCATGAGCTATGTCCCCAACCCCTACTTCTGAAGATTCGTGATGATGTCAAAGGGCTAAGCAATGCAGATGAGATTTGCTTCTAAAAATTATTCCTAAAGTAATTCTGAGGACAAATTCAGGTGAAGGGTCTAAAAGTGTTGAGGAGATAGCAGCATTTTCATGACACAAATAGAGATTCCTAAGTTGGCTACTTTTGAAGGGCAGTACTGATTTGGTTATCTCAGTGGGGAACATGTGTTAATTAAAAATAAATTTTATTTATTTTTTTTGTAGTAGGGATTAAACCCAGGTATACTTTACCACTGAGATACTTCCTCAGTTTTTAATTTTTTTTTTTTTTAATTTTGAGACAGGATCTCATGAAGTTTCTTAGGGTCTAGGTAAGTTTCTGAGGCTAACTTCCAACTTATGTTCCTCCTGCCTCAGCCTCCCAAGACGCTGGGATTACAGTTCTGTGTTGCCTCACCCAGCTAAAATGCATTTTTATCACTTTATAGTCACAGAGTAATGGAGACATTTAATAGCTACATATCCTGGGGAAAATTACTTCTCCATGCCTCACTATTGTCACCTGTAAAATTGGGATAGTAACAAATAATACCTACTTTTCAATAGATTAGGCCAAGAATAGTGACTGGCACCTACAGTAAGCAGTTCCCTGTAAGTGTTAGCTATTCATCTCCCGAGCTTATATTTTAAAATGCAATTCTTTGACACGTTTTTTTTTTTCTTGTATTTTAGAGTGAAGCCATGCTGCTTAACTTCGATCAGCAAAGCTAATTATGTCTTTTCTGCATTTATTTTCAAAGGACAGTTACTCACTTGGTTTTGAGATATCTGGGTTACGCCCTCTACTTTTCCATGGGATTTAAAGTGAGTGTGAAAGGAAAGGCTGCGAGCGCTTTGGAAGCACCCATTTTTGTTGTCGCCCCTCATTCGTCCTTCTTTGATGGGATTGCCTGTATTGTGTCTGGACTGCCTTCGTTGGTGTCTCGGTATGAAACTGTCCAGATCCCTATGATTGGCAGTAAGTACTTGAAAGGTAACAGATGAAATATTTTCATGCTTATGCTTGAAATTAAAATAATCATATTGGGAGTTTTTTGATAAATTTTTTTAAAAAATTTTAAAATATTTCAACATATTTCTTCTTATAATTAGGTCCTATATGGAAAGAATGAATTTATGAAAAAAGGCTAGACTTTATTAATCTATAGCCTCATCATTCTTTTTAATACCTATTTTTATTATCATATCATCCTGTCTTGTTCTTATTTATGGCTGGGGAAGACCAGTGTTCAAATACTGGACATGCTGATTCTTGTTTTTTGTTTTGTTTCATTTAGTTAGTTATTTATTTTTAGAGAGAATTGAACCAATGCACAGTTTACGTGCTTTTTCATGAATTTCTGTTCAGGGTGTTAGGCTGATAGGCATACGGAGTCTTTTCTCCAAACTCTTGTTTTCTTCCTGGTTACCCTGGGCGTCTCCTTGAGGTACCTCTGAAAATCATGGTGAGGAACAGTCAGCGCTTCCTGCCGTAAGAAATAATGAAGCAAGTGTAGTGTTTTTCCCATCAGATACTTTGGTCCCTCTCTAAGGAATCAGTCTCCAAGTCACATCTCCCAGTTGTCCAGGATTCTCTCTCAGGTGACAAGGGAGAGGGGGTGAAGGTGGCCCCTGTGCTCTGCAGAAGTGGTAGCAGTCCTAGAAGCTGTGTCCTTCAGCGCAGGCACTTTGTTTCTTGACTGTAACCACCGGCTTTATGTAATGTGTTTTTATCTTCCTGGAAAGTGTGTAGCAATAAGCTTTTGCTAAATGGAGGCTTATTTTGCGTGTGGTTGGAAGCTGTCGAGAACACTTGACTTTTTGAAAATTTCAGTAAAATGTGTAAAGTTGCCTTCTACTTATGTGCACTGTAAATTTAGATAATCATTTTTCAAAATATTCCTAAAATTCAACACGACAATCTTGAATATTCCAAAGGTTTAATGTCTGTCGAGGCAGAAGACCATTGGGGAGAAAAATTGTATTTGCCTCTTTTCATATTATCCGCTCTCCACATACTTCTGTTACATTAATGAAATCTGTAAAAAAAAAAATTTTTTTTGTAGTTGTAGATGGGCAGAATACCTTTATTTTACTTATTTATTTTTATGGGGTGCTGAGAATTGAACCCAGTGCCTCACACCTGCTAGGCAAGTGCTCTGCCACTGAGCCACAACCCCAGCCCATGAGATCTTTTTAGATATAACTGTCCACCTCTCTTTTTGAAATTAGAAACTAAGTTCTAATAAACTTTGCAGTATTTTTTAGTTTTTTCTTTGCTGTCATTTTAGTTTTCCATAAAATTTGTCTTATGTTTTATCCTATACTATTGCTATGCTGGCTTTAGTCAAAAAAACGCTTGGTTGGATTTTTTCTTCATCTTAAAGGTCTCTTACGGGCCGTGCAGCCAGTGTTGGTGTCCCGTGTGGATCCGGATTCCCGAAAGAACACAATAAATGAAATAATAAAGCGAGCGACCTCCGGAGGGGAATGGCCCCAGGTAAAAGGCAGCCATATTGAGTTGACTCCCCATCTGTAGACTTTCTTGTGTGGATCCACAGGTGCTAACATCTGTGGACACCTACACCAGGTGTCTTCAGCACGATGGATGCAGAGTGAATGAACTAGTGAGTAATCAGAAGTCCGCCTCTGCGTGAGCTCCTTCATGGACTTCACTGTGTTATCCTTGTTATCTGCCAGACTCTTCAGCCAATTTTTACTTCCCCATCATAAAACATGATTTTTCTATCTCTGAATTTAATCCCCATGAATTAATATGACTATATCGTATAATTTAGTGTATGAAATTCCAAAGCCCCATTATATTCAACAGTATGTTGGGTTCACTGAAAAAATGGTGCAGATCTTTCATCTTTTCTTTTTTGGGGTACTAGGAATTGAATTCAGGGGCACTCAACCACTGAGCCACATTCCCAGCCCTGTTTTGTATTTTATTTAGAGACAGGGTCTCACTGAGTTGCTGAGTGCCTCACTTTTACTGAGGCTGGCAGCCTCCAGAGCCACTGGGATTACAGGTGTGCACCTCTGCGCCCCGCCAGCTCTTTCATCTTTTCTGAAGTATATTTAGGTGGTGCTTCTCAGTTCAGAGGTGTCTCAAAATCACCCATAAGGCTTGGTCAGCCTCACCATCTCTGCAGCCTTTCCTCACAGTGCTGGCTGAGGATTAGGGAGGGCAGTATTTGTTGCATGGTAATGTCCCTTGATCTTTGTGCAGATGACAACAGATGACCTCTAGCACACTGATGGTCCTGCAGAGGACATGCAAATGTTAAAGTACCAAAGGAGTGTGGCTGACCAGGAGGCTTTAGAAACCAAGGCTTCTGAGGAACAATTTAAACAGTGATTGAGAAGAATAGCATTTGTAATTAGGGTTTGATTTTTCTCTTTGGATCAAAAAGTATATCTGCAATAAGTAGGTGGGAGGTGAAAGGTAGATTTCACCTCATTTTGGTTGTTTTGAGGAAGAACTTTCTTTCTGTCCAGAGGAAGAATAGTCTTGCTTTGGGATCTCTAGAATTTTCTGGCATTGGCTGAGCAACCGCTATTCCAGGGCCGGAGTGGGCGGGTGGGGTTATTGTAGAAAACATTCCAACATTACTGTTGCTGGGTGACCTAATGCCCCTTCCAGCTCTGAGGTTTTATGGTTCATTTCATGGCTGCTCCTTGTTAGTTATGGAGTTGTAGAATTTGCACTGAATACAACATTATATCTTTCATAGGAAACCCATTTTTTAGTTTGGAGGATGGAATCACACTGCATATATAATAATTTTTATTTTAGAAATAACCTGTAATTATAGCAATTTAACTCAATAATCTTTTCCCTCTCTGTTATAAAATACATATTACTAACTGCGTTGAGTGCAAGAATTTTACTTTTATTTGATGTTCTTAGCACGTGGCTCATAACTAAATTTTAAAAGCTTCAGGAAACCAAGATGCCATCTAGTCGGGTTAATGGAGGAACTAATCATACTTCTTGTTCTCCACATGGAAAACATAAAGAAATACATTAAAAGCTAAAACATATCCTCAAAAAATAGATAATACGTTGTATTCCATCCATCGGCTAAGTCAGGTCAGCATGAAGCAATTTTCTCCTTTGTCCTCAAGACCTCTGTGAACTCTGTTGTGGGAGTGAACATCATTTAATGGGAAAACTGAGACAAAGTAGGTGGTTATTTGGGTAAGGATGTGTAGCTGCAAGGAGGGAATTTAATATGCTTTGCCTAGTGTATACTTTGACCAAGACTTACAGCCTCTGTATTTTTTTAAAATTTATTCAGATCATTGGTAAAAACCATCATTCAGAAAAATGTAGTATGTTTGTAAATTAAGCATATTCTCCATTCAAAGCTTAAATTCATTTTCTAAGAACCTAAATGGCTAAACTGTATTTCTCTTAGAAGAAAATTGAATAATCTGGTTTGAGCTTTCAGTAGAATCAAGAGTTAGCTTTTTATTTCATTTTTGTTTTTGAAGCATTCGCAGCTGTTTGTGAAGTCATAAGAAAGCGAATAAGAGGTAATCTATTCATTAGACTGAAATATTAAATCTATTCCTTTTCTCCCAAGATACTAGTTTTCCCAGAAGGTACTTGTACTAATCGTTCCTGTTTGATTACTTTTAAACCAGGTGAGATAAATTAATTTATGTATTATAACAAAGTAGTGTGGAAGATTTCTCAAATGATTATAGATAGCAGTACACAAAGTAATGCTTTAGATTGCTCTGAGCATTTCCTTTTTTTCTGATAAAAAGTTTTTTATGTGATTCCACAGAACTTAACTCCTTCACTTTCTCTTTTGGTATCATAACCTCTTCTTTCTTATAGGGTGTGTGTGTGTGTGTGTGTGTGTGTGTGTGTATGTATCTACACACACAAACTGTAGATAATTTTCTTTTCCTCCAAGGAACACTTGCATATCCCCAGGGTCCTCTGATGTGAAGTGGAGTCCCTGTTTTATTATGGCTTTTCAAATGCCCTCCGTGATTCACTCCCTTTTGAATACTGGGCAGGTGGTCCTGAGCATAACTCTTGACCCTTTTTTAAAGGTTTTGTTTGGCTGCTCGAATGTACATCCCTGAAGTGATAGCTCACTTCTGGCAACTGTGGTAGTTTTCACTTCAAGGAGTTGTCTTTATCTTTATCTAGATATTCTTATTTCTCTTCATCTTGATTTTGTCATTACTGCTTTGTAAACAAATCTTGTTGAATAATAGGTATTTGGGAAATGCACACAAATAAGGAACGAAATATGTAAATGCCTTCAGCACAGGATTAAATATTTGCTTGACTGATTCATAATTTTAAAAATTCCTCATTTTAGTAAACACTAGGCATTTGCCAACACATGCAATAGATTCTGTGATCTGTACTTGTAAGCCATCAGCGTACTTACAGCATTTATAATTGATTTTTTTCTTATTGTAAAATTTTTATTCATATGAAAACCGTATGACAAAATTTCAATGTGGTTCCAGGAGCCTTCATTCCGGGAGTCCCCGTGCAGCCCATCCTCCTCAGATACCCCAACAAGCTGGTAAGCACAGTGTTCTTCTGTGGGAGCAATTTAAATATTCCAAACAACCTCCTGCTCTCAGACCCCTTTTCCTGTGTGAATAAGGAAAAGAATAGATGAATGGTGAAGGAATCAGCAAGTTCATTCTGCTTGCCGTGGCTGGTTTTCAAGATAGGCACATTGTTGATACCAATATTAAATATCGTTTTATTATTATGAAGCTTCAGGAAGACATTTCTTAGCCTCTGTTGTCACTGTCTGATTAAATCCCAGATGTAGGGTCTCACTGGACAGGATAGTAGAACTTTGTAATTTTAATTAAGCCTAGAAGGAGACTTTTCCTGATTTAGAGGTCATTACTGATGGAGAAGGGTTGATACAGCAGGATAAATTTGAGAGAAGCTTGATCTTTAATTACTGGCTCAGTACTTATGAGCTGTGTGACCCGTGGCTGGTAGCTTGATGAAATAAGGAAATATATGAAAGCACTTAACACCCTGTTCAAAGTCCAGAGTTAGCTCAGGAAATGCTGTTTTCCACACAGCTGGGTATGTTGTTGTTCTCTGGATGTAGATCGTGCCACTGTTTCCCAAAGACTTTGGGGGGGAATGCTTTGGTTCTGAAAGGACTTTGTTTGCTAGAGAATTTATATAAAAAGCAGGAGATAACTGTTAGTTATCTACACTATTTAAGATTGAGAATTCTCCAAAAACTTAACACCAAAAATACAAACAAATAAATAACGCAATTAGTAAACTGGCCAAAGAACTAAACACATGCTGGGCTCAGTGGTGCACACCTATAATCCCAGCGGCTCAGGAGGCTGAGGCAGGATCTCAAGTTCAAAGCCAGCTTAACCAAAAGCGAGGTGCTAAGCAACTCAGTGAGACCCTGTCTCTAAATAAAAAATACAAAATAGGGCTGGGGATATGGCTTGGTGGTCGAGTGCCCCTGAGTTCAATCCCCGGTACTGCCTCCCCCAAAATTTAAAAAATGAATAAATTTAAAAAAGAACTAAACAGACATGTGTCAAAAGAAGAAATACAATTTGCCAACAAATATATGAAAAAATATTCACAATACAAATCAAAACTGCATTGTGATTCCACCTCACTCCATTCAGAATGGCAGTTATCAAGAATACAAATAATAATGTATTGGCAAGAATGTGGGGGGAAGGTACACTCATATATTATTGGTGGAACTGCAAATTAGTACAGTCACTCTGGAAAGCAATATGAGATTTCTCAAAAAACTGAGAATGGAATCACCATATGACCTAGCTATCCCACTCCTTGGTATGTCCAAAAGACCTAAAATCAGCATACTATAGGGTACAGCCTCATCAAAATTTATAGCAGCACAGTTCACAACAGCAAGCTATGGAGCCATAGCTGCATTTTAATGGATGGATGGATAAAGAAAATGTATAACTCAGCCTTAAGAAAGAATGAAATTAGGGCATTTGCTGGTGAATGGATGGAACTGGGGACGGTCATGCTAGGTGGAGTAAGCCAGATTCAGATACTCAAAGGTCAAATGTTCTCTCATATGTGAGAGGTAGTCCAAGATGGCAGGGGGTAGTGGGGGAAGGAGAAAGAAAGGGAAATAGGGGATACCATCAAAATAGAAGAAAGATCAGTGGAGTAGATGACAGGGATTGAGGAGGCAGGAGAAGGGACGGGGCAAGGGAACAAGAGTGGAGTGAATCTGACCCAACCTTCCCGTGTGCATATGTGAATATACCACAGTGAGTCTCCCCATCATGTCTATCCACAAAGACACTGGAAAAAAACCCTAAAGGTAAAAAGCAGAAAGATTAGTAGAGGGAAGGGAACAGGGGAAGGAGGAGGAGAGGGAAAGGGAAAATACTGGGGACTGAATTAGAGCAAATTATATTCCATACTTTTATAATTATGTCAAAATGAATCCTAATGTTGTGTATAACTAAAAAGAGTCAGTTACAAAAAGAATATTAAAAAAGATTAACAGTTCTCCATCAATCCATCTTTCTATTCAGTGGCTGTTTTCTCAACCTTGGAAAAATGAAATTAAAATAAAAAAGCAAAATTAGAACCATCAAATTTTTGCTCGTTGTACCTCTGTTTATAGGTTGATTTTTTTTTCTGTATACTCAAATTCTTTCAATATGCATTACTTTAATCTTTTCTCCCAAATAACCCCTTCCTTTTTTTTTTGAACTGTTTATTGTAAATAAACTGTATTCTGTTTATTGTAAGAAAATTCATTTTCTAGATATGTTCATATTGGGAGAAAATAGCTAAGCATGTGTACTAGTTTTTGTAAAAATTCAGAATAATTTTTTCCACAAAAAGATCCATAGTGACATAGGAAGATGGGTATTTTGCTATGTAGAGACATATTCTAAGATTTCATAGGTCAGTTCACCACTTTTAATAATAATGTGCTTGTTTCATTTTTCAATGCATTATTTTTAATTTCAGGAAAAGTATACATGAATCCCAATATTAAAATGAGGTCTTTGGGGCTGGGGTTGTAGCTCAGCGGTAGAGCACTTTCCTCATATGTGTGAGGGTTCAACCCTCAGCACCACATAAAATAAGTAAGTAAATAAATAAAGGTATTGTGACATCTATAACTAAATTTTTTTAAAAAAAATTAAGTCTTTCAACCAGAAATATGAAAAATTGTGCTCTATATGTATAATAAGTGTAATGCATTCTGCTGTCATATATAAATTTTTAAAAATTACATAAAAATGTTCATCATAAAAAAAAGATAAGGTCTTTGTTTTATTCGATATTTTCCTTCTGAAATAACTACTTGAATACTTTTGTCATTGTAGGATACTGTGACCTGGACATGGCAAGGATATACATTGTAAGTCATCTCTGTCTGTGATTAGCTTAAATACATTTTACTTCAGGGAAGAAAATAAAAGATCATTTATTTCTTCTTTAAAACAAAAAATAAAGATTTGAACCAGAGTCTTAAGTACCTGATGTCTGCAGAGAGCATCATGACTTCGCCCAGTAACCCCTGGTATCTCCCATGTGGAGAATTCTAGCCAGTGTTCAAATGGGCCTCAAGGTTTTTATTTTCTTATTTTTCTGTTTCCTCAAGTTTTTGTCTTCTGACTTGTAAGGAGCATTGCAGTGACCAGTTTCCATCATATTTAGCTTGAGTTTTGCACTTTCACTTGCATTGCAGATTGAGCATCCTCTAGGGTCTGCATCGAGACTTTACCACCCTGTTTTAAGCAGTTCAGATCACATTAGTTGCACGTCCTGCAATAGCTGGGATGTGTTTGATGTAAGTTGAGAAACCAGCTCACTGGGATTTCAGTTCCGTTCTTGGATTTTGAAAGTGCAGGGATCAGCAGTTTCTCTAAGCACTTGAGTGAGGACAGCAACAGTTTCACTATTAACCGAGCTAAAAATGGGCCTTGAAAAAGAACAGAACCTGTAGAACCGCACTTTGCTTCAAGATCTTTTGTTTAGTTCCCCTTGTAAAGTCTGATAGGTGATGACCACTTGGAAATATTTAAAAGGAAATCATCATTTGCCTTCAAGAACTCTGCCAGATTCTTTGAAATAATACATTTTAATGAGAATGGGTGACGAATGGGTCAGTGGAATAACCCTTCGCACATGTGAAACAATTACGGTCCTGTTATGCTTCCGTAAGGGATGTGTAGACAGTACATTATCCTCTACTTTGTAAGAAATCTGTTTATTATTAGACTTCATGCCACCATGATTTTGAGTAGCTGGTTCTTAGCTTTTATGCAAGAGAGAATTAGGAGAAATAAGTAGCGTCACGAACATTTTAGAAATAGATGTTCCTAAAAATCGGGTGGGTACATATTTATACTTCCTGATGTGTGTCATCTTTCGGGCCTTTCCAAATTTAGTTCCCTATAGAGATAGTGACTCTGGGTTCATGGTGTGGTCAGTATGGTTTTTTTGGGGGGTGTGGGTTACATAACAGTTCAAGCTGACATTAATCAAATAAATTGCTTTCTGGAGAGGGAATGGGATAGAAAATAAAGTGGCTTATTCTAGTCTTCTAACCTGGGAAGATGTGATAAAGGAAAAAAGAAAACAAGAGAGTGAATTCAGGAAACTGAAAAAAGATACTTGAAGAATCAGGGATTTCTTAGGACTTATAAACAAACAAAATCTTTAAAAAGCACAATTTTGTGTTTTCCAAATGCCACATTTTGAGACCCTGTCCCAAAATGATAACATATTTAATGGAAGTGGTTAATTTACTTCCGAAATTTCTTGTTTTAACTGAAGTTCTTGTTTGACCCATCACTTCCTCAAGTATGTCTCTTAAAGTAATTTTTACAAATAAACAGTATTTAAATTCCTTTCTAGCAGAAAAGGGTTGATTGGTCGTTTTGTTAAACATATAGTCTAATCCACTCTGCCTGATTTCTGGATCAGCTGACTAATGAGGCTAAATTAAAAAAAAAAAATCCCACAGAAATCTTTCCCAGGGGTTCCAAAAATTGTCTTTGAAGAGGTAGCTAACCACTTTCAAGAAACAGTGCTATACTCAGGAGCTTCCCTAAAAATGTGCCTTTGGATAGCTTCTCAAGCAGCTTAGGCCTTTGAGTCGTTGTTGTCAAGGAAACTTCAAATTGGGGGTTTACACTGCTGGGCTGTGGTTCTGACTCACAAATGCATATTTGGTATGGCATTTGGTATTTTAACTTTAAAATGGTTGTCTCAGTCCAAGAAGTATTTGACCTGTGGTGTAGCATTTATATGCACTTATAGCATTATAGTAAATATATGTATATAAACATAAATGTGTGTGTGTGTGTGTGTGTGTATATATATATATATATATATACATATATATATATATTTGCATGTGAATTAAGTGTTCTGTGGTGGCGTTCTTGTGTAGAGAAAGTCTGTGGAGTAACATTAGATGCTACTTGTATTACCACATAAAGATATAGCCCTCTCTTTTTTACTTTTCAGCATCCAGCTTTGTGTTTTGACTTTCTGCCAGCCCTTCACAAAGGTGGAAATCGAGGTAAGTCATTCAAAATATAACCTTGGAACTTGAGATTTGGCTTTCCTTTAATTTTGAATTTCTGGTCTGGAGAGACCAGATGTGAAGTTTTACCACCTTTAAAATAAGCTCTGTCTTTCTGGGCATGGTGGTGCACACCTATAATCTCAGCAACTCAGGAAACTGAGGTAGGAGCATTGCAAGTTTGAGGCCAGCCTCAGCAACTTAGCCAGGCCCTGCTTCAAAAAAAAAAAAGGTGGAGAAAGAAGCTCAGTAGTAAAGCACCCCTAGTTCAATCATATAAATCCGTACTGTCAAACCGAACCCATGGAATCCTGTTAGGGAAACACCTCTAATCTAACTTCTGGAAACTTCTAAGATGTAACAACCCTGGCTGGACAGATTTGCGTCCCCTGATCACATCTCTTATGCCTTCAGTGGTGACCTCTACCAGGCTGAACCTTGTGCTTCTGCTCCCTGACAAAAGGAGAGGGGGAGCCCACAGTAGCTGGTGGAGCCCACAAGTCCTGGAAGAGGAGGTCTGTGAAAATCAGGGGGAGAGCTAAGAAGGCAGAAGCTCCCCCTTACAGTGTCATTCCACATGGGGAGCCTAAGGCAGTCCTGCTGGGAGGTGGCGGTCTCTTGGTGTGAGTTTCAGTGGCAGATGGGGAGCTACAGAATAAGGAGACCATTTGGAAAATTCTGGCCAGATCTTTAAGACTCTGGAGGTTGGTTTTAGGTACCAAGTGATACCCTCAGGGAACTGCTAAAGAGGGTTAGAATATTGGGTCTGAAAACACTTGCCTTGTTTCTAATTGCATTCCTGTATTAACAGAATGAAAACCTTCAATTTGCATATGTAATACAGAGCTCTGGATGCGGGTCTGTGGAATTTAATTCATAACAGGTCTGTTTTGCTTTGTTGGCTGGTTTAGCCACTCAGCCATTTAGAAGTTGTCAGTAATTCCAGATGATATAGGAGAGCAAATTATATTTCAGAATGAGTTTAACTTCAGTGAAATGTTCCTTGAGATTTGCATGTTGCTTGCCTTCCTTGAAACTGTTAGTTTTATTTCACACCATTTGTTTTAAAACCAGCTCAGCATCTCAGCATGACAAAAAAACATAGTACCAGCTCTTGGATGTTTCTAGGAGAAAACAACAACTAATCCGTGCCCTTTAGGAAGTACCAGGGTAAACAAAATGGATTAGGTCTCTTTTCTCAGTACTTTTTAGGGCCTTTGAAATATTGGACCGAAGAAGCCATTTTTCTCTGGATATCACCTGAAACCAATGTTTCATAGAGTATATTTCAGGAAGCCCCAGATCATACAATTCCTAGATACCCTGAGCACAGATCTTTCTTTTGCAATAGCTGCTCAGGTAGTCTAGTCCAGTTCTCCTTTTCTAAATAAACAATAAAGCCCATAGTTAAAACAGCCATGCTGTCTTCTCTGCAAATGTGAAAGATGTCACTCTCTCTCTCTCTCACACACACACGCACACCTACACACACACCTCTGTTCTTTCCTCCAAATTGACCGCTCTCCAGCTAAAACAAGACCTAGCAACAGATGTGGAAGTGCACAAGAACTGTACCCCTTTGTTCTGCACAAGTGTCAGCGGTCAAACTACATTACAACAGAGGTATGTAAATTCCTCATTTTTGCCCTGACTGCTATTACCACATTTCCTTTCTGTGTCATGACTTTCTTTCTTTCTTCTTAAAATGACAATATTTGCATTCTCCAGCTGCTTCTGAGACCTGCTTAGATAATATCTTCTGGCCAAAGAAAAGAATATACCCTTTGTTCTGTAACTTCAGAAACAAAATGGCTTTCAGCTGGTTGAAAACAGTTGACTCAGTGGGGATTTGATGTATTTGAATTGTGGTGTGGGGTGAGAGGGTGGGAGTTTAGGGACTTCACTTTAGTCATCTTCTTTTAATTATTATGTAATTATTTTTACAATGCTGCCTTTCACCCGACAACTCCAATTACTTTATGATATCTGAATATTTAAATTCCCCACTGTTCAGATATAACTAAAAAGTGTATCTAAGCAGCCCTCAGTCCCTGAGTCTGTCCACGCCCTGGCTCAGGCTGTGAGCAGCTGGGCCTTGCCGCTGAGGTCCATCTTTTCCAGCACGTCTGTAGAGGCAGAACTTGAGCCTCCCACATAGAGGTTGGTTTGAGGTCTCTGTTCTTTTTGTTCCCGTTTCAGTGTCTTGGTGGTTGGGAGTGCTCCCCTCTTTTCTCTTTTACTTTAAAAGTGACCGAAATCCTTGTTACTGTTTTAGACACACACTTAGAACTTCTTGAATACTAGATAAACCTAATTCAAGGTGTATCACTCGAGAAGATAGTCTTAAGTTTGTGGCTTGTACAGTGAACTTTGAGAGGATTATTAAAGAGCTCTTCTAGACACTCTTAATTTTGTGAGTCACAGGACATCTCAGAATATCGACGTGTCCTTTAGTTTCACACGTCTCTAGTCAGGAATGATGATTACCAAACTCTTCACTTGTTTGAAATCTAGTGAATATAATAGACAGGGAATTTTCTTATCTCCTTTTCTCCATCCCTCTCTGCTTCACCAACAGAGAGATTTATTTTTGGAAAAGATATTATTTTATTGACTCTTGGGTATTAAAAAGGTAAGTTCCAAACCTCATGCCCTGTGGAACTGTTCTGGGCATCCTTGAGCAATGACGACTGTGAAATGATTCACTGAAAATTACCCTTTGAATCGTAACATTGCAAAGTGGAAAAGTGATCACCTCATCAAGCAGCCACCTCACGGCCACATGTGTTCTCTGTGCCTGTAAGCCAAGAGTTTATCAGGGCATTGGGAATAAGTTAGCCAGCAAGAAGCATTGCAAAATATGGCAGAAATTAAGAGCCTCCTAGAGGACTTGACAAGAGAGGGTTGGTGGTAAGTCAGACCATGGGGCCACCAGCCAGTTTCTGAATGCAAGCTTGACTTCTTTATGGGCTGTATCTCAGGATGCATTCAAAGTATGTTAGAAGCCACTCAGTGTATTACAGATGCATTAAAATGATTTATCTGTCGGCATGTAGACATATTTGGCTTTGTAAAATTCCTTTACAAAGCTCTTAGTGGGCTTATAGTGGCTGGCATTAGGCCCAAAATCCTGCTGAGCAATTCATTGCCTTCAGTAATAGAAAGGAATTCTTTTCTCATTTGAAAAGAATATCTGATTTAGGAAAGGACTGTAGTTAATAATGAGTGTTATGGTCAGCACCTATACAGATAAGTCACTTTTTTCTATTTATTTTATTTTATTTTTTTTGGGGGGGGGTGGTGGTGCCAGGGATTAAACTCAAGGCATTCAACCACTGAGCCCCATCCCCAGCCCAATTTTGTATTTTATTTAGAGACAGGGTCTCACTGAGTTGCTTAGTGCCTTGCTGTTGCTGAGTCTGGCTTTGAACTCAAGATCCCTCTGCCTTAGCCTCCTGAGCCACTGGGATTATAGGCGTGTGCCACTGTGTCCAGCTGTTTATTTTATTTATTTTTGTGTGAGGGTATGGTGCTGAGACTGAACCCAGGGCCTTGGGCATGCTAGGCAAGCATCCTATCACTGAGCCACATTCCCAGCCCTATATGTTACTTTTTTAGTCTTCAAAGAGCCAGTTACATAAGGAAGGTCAAAACAGTTGTGTCTCTCCCTCAACAATGAGGGCATACTCTGAGGAAGGTGTTGTTGGGCGGTTTTGTCCACTTGCAAACATAGAGTACACTTGTACAGACCTAGATGGGAGCCTACTACACTCCTGAGAGATGGGGAATATATTGGCTGGTGCATGCTCACCACAGACTTGTGTTTCATGTTCCTGTGCTGAACACAGTGGGTGGTTTAACAGTGCTAAGTACTTGCAAATCTAAAAGCAGAAAAGGTGCAATAAAAATACAAGATTTTCTTAAAAAGGTACATCTCTATGAGGCACTTGAGTAGAGCTTACAGGAGTAGAAATCTGGGTGAGTCATTGGGTTGCTGTAGACTTATCAAAATAACCAGATACACTAAGAATTGTTTGTAATTTTGAATCTAAAATAAACCTTTTAGACAACTTCCATCTTATAACTACACGCTCCCCGCCACCTTCCCCACCCCAATACATACTGTTCTAACCAAGCTAATTTCTTCTGGACTTGGTTAAAATGTATGAATACTAGTAGAGAATGGAGCATTGTAAATAGAGTATTTATTAGCTGGCAGTTCTGTTCCAGTTCTGTTACTGCCTACCTGTTTTGTGCTCAAGAAAATTACTTCAACCTCCCTAAGCCTGTGTTCTCTCTGGACCATGGTTACAGTAGTATCTGTTCTGTAGGGTCACGGGGACTTAATAAGGTTTCTTATGTGCTGCGTGTGGCAAGTGTTCAGTGCCTGTTAGCTTTTATTTCCCTTCTCATCTGGATGTATCTCTCTCTTCTTTGAGGGAAGAAGCATCGAATTACTCATAAATATCTTCCTTCTTTTGCATTTTCTGTCTTTGAAGACTTAAAGAAAAATCACAGGAAGAATTAGAACCACACATGTGTTAAGATTGATCTTCTAAATTCTTTTCTAATAGAAGAAAAAAGAAAAGATTGAACAGAGTGTCATCGCTCATCGGTCTGTCTGTTCCCACTCGTCATTTATTTAGCAGAGAGGAATGTGCTTGATGCGGTCAAGACACATTGAATAAACAAGTTTTCTGAGCACTGATGTCCAGGCCTGGCTCTGGTTAGTGGGAGCTGTAAATATCTTGTGCTGTTTAAGGCCCAAGAGGAGGTGGGGGACTATGGGGCCAAAAGCATGATCTAGAGGTGTTACTATGGGAAATGTGTCAGCTAGTCTGGTCCTCACCTGGGAAGGGTGGTACAGTTAAGGGGGTGTGGGGGCGGGAGAGCCGTCTCAGGTGCAGTAGCAAAGGGAATAGAAGTTCCCAGAGACCATCGTCTTTCAGAAATCGGAAGTGGCCTGCTGCTGGCCAGGGAGGGTGAGGTCAAGGTGGGATTGCAACCTGAGAGGCAGCAGCAGCAGCAGGTGTGACTTCCTGTAGCTTCCCTCCCCTGCCTCTAATAGGAGGGAGAGGGTGGGATCCAAGGGGTCTATGGTGGTCTCTGTAGGTGGGCAGAAGTGAGAGTGTCCAGGTGACAGAGAGGCTCTAGGAAGTGCCTGTCTCCCACACCCAGGCAGATGTTGCCAGAGGAGGGCGGGTAAGAAGGGGTGAATAGTCCTGGTGTGACCATGACGTTGTTGCAGTCTGTGAGGGACTAGATGAGGGGAGAAGCAGTGCTCGTGGCCGATGGGGACGCTGACTGAGGAAGGGTCGAGGAAGAGGTGAGGGTCACGTTTGCTTCCATGGCTGAGGTGGAATTGAGAAAAGTGTAGCTAGATGAAGTGACTCTGTGATAAGGTGTCACATGGGCCATCAGTGTGAGTACTGAGCATGATGAGAGAAGATGGAGGAGGAAGGGAAAGTTGGGGTCCTGCAGTCCTTGGGGTATTTATTTAACTGTGCACTAAGGGCCATACCAGGTAGTAGCAATCAAGTTCTCCTCTTTTTGGCTAATCTTCCTCTCCAAATAAGGGGCGTGTGTTCAGGCTATGAATCTTGAATGACTTGGTACAAAATGGAAATGTAGTCTGGAGGGCCAGATTTTATCTTAGGAGAGGGGACTCTTTATTAGAGTTTCCACTGAATTGCTTCTCAGGAGGCATGGTGCCCTCAGGGCCCAAGAGGGTCCAACCCAGGCTTTTAGTTATTTTATACTCCAGTTGGAATGTATTTCCTCAAAAAATAAAATACCTTGCCAATATGAGAGTAATTAAAAATCATTTTATGGAAAATATTGCCTGCACGCATAGAAACCAGGCCCACAGCTCGAAGTATGATGTTTGGTTAACCGTGTAGCAGCCATTTATGTTTCAGGGTTTTCAGTGTGTGCTTTTATGACCTATAAATCAAGTACATTATAAATAGTCACTTGGCTTTTTTAAAAAATGAAGAATTATTTGGCATTGAAAACTTTCTTCCTTATACCATTTTGCAGGAGATTTTATGAGCATTGATTTTCAACCAACTTTCTCCTTCCTTGAGCTTCCTACTAAAGCAAATAGAAAAATGTTTACTATCAGGATGGGGGGGGGGGAATTTTTTGTCTTGTTTATTCGTTGAGTTTGTTGTTCTGGATACTTAAGTGATAGGGGGACCTCTGGTGGCTTAGTGTATTTTTCCACCTTGAACAATAACTGGAAGGTCTGTTGAAAGCTAAGGAAAGGACCTTAGACCATCTGGTCAGAGCTTCTCACTGAGGGGGGAGGGGCCTGCGGCCCTGGAAGACTACAGGACTGTTCCAGGCTCCCATAGCAGAGCAGCGGCTGAGGGCTCGCTGTGCACCATGCCCCCCCTCTCCTTTGGACAAATCAGTAAAATGAATTTGAAAAGTAAAGTGACATGTAGCATGTGCTTCTGTAAGTCCTCGACGGTTTTTCTTAAAGGTGCCTTGCACACACCCGTGCTCTGCTTCCTGCATTCCAGGGTGCAGGCCTTGCGTGGATCACTGTGGGGGCCTCCAGCCTTCCCCTGCTCTCCTCCTCTTCTTCTTGGGTGCCTCCTCTCTATACCGCTGAAGTCACTGCTCAAAACTAGGGACTGGGTCTTGTCTTGCTTAAGCATCTCTGAGTCACCAGTGCCCATGATCGTCAACATGATTAACGAGATTTGAGAACAGGACAATCTGGAAGAAGTGGCATCTCCTTATACAGAACTTTCTCTTTTTTTCACACCATGGCCCTGCCATTTGTTTGTGGCCATGGCTATATTACTTAACCCCTTCAAGTCCCATTATTCATCATCAAATGAAAATGGTATGGCTGGCCCCAGGGAATTGGTGAGAGAGCTAATCATATAAAGCCCCTAATGTAAAGTACCCAGCACATAGTAGGTGCTTAATGGATGGCAGCTGTTACTGGTTGACTTACTCATCGATGTTGATAAATTAATTTACTTATCATTTGAATGTCTTAGGCCTAAGGATTTTTATGGAAAGTTGTATTTGTCTTTCAGTTTATGCCTGTTCAAGTACCAAGTGATGCAGAAAAAAACGATCCTGTCCTTTTTGCCAATAGAGTCCGCAATTTAATGGCAGAGTAAGTTACTGTATAAGATTTCAAACAGTAAATAATTTGAAAATCATTGGCAAATGTCATTTAACATAGCTTTCAAATTCCTCCCCCAGCCCCACTGAGGGCCGCAGTCTCCAACTTACTTTGGTACATAAGCAAAATAACGTGCCCAGGGATGTGTATATTTTCCCCAGCTTCAGCCTCAAACTAATGGAAGTGAGTCTTTACCTGAAAGACCAGGATAGCACAGCCAGAGGAGACCAATCGGCACTGTCCACAGGTGGATTCTCCCCAGCTGGCCCTGTCATTGCAGGCAGCTCCTGCTGAGCATCCCACCCCTCCCCTCAGCTCCCCTGCAGCTGCCCATGCCTGAGGGTTTCAGAATCATCAGGGCTGTGAGCACCACGAAGGGGAAGTTTGCAAAGGTTTGAAAAGATGCACAGAAAAGGAAAAAGGTTACTCTTGTGAAGGAATGGCTATAAATTTAGGATTTAGAAACTGCAAAGCATAGGCATATATTTTCCTGCACTTAAGAGTGTTTTAGCTGGCTGGTATTCTAATTAGATAAATCACCCCGTCTTGTAATGAAAGCATGCGTTTTGCTACACCATCCAGGCAGCCTTGGCCCTCCAGATGTGCACCCCCACCCAGGCACCACCTCCCTCAGTCACTAGTAGGAGGTTTGGAGCTAACAGACCTGCAGTATTTTTTTCTCTTTAGTAAGAATTCAACAGGAACTCTGAATATAGCTGAAATTGGCCTTATAGCCTGATTATTCTGATTGAGATATATATATTATATATTTTATCTAATATTTTATTTATATTTATATTTTATCTAATTTCTAAACCAGCTACGAAATTTGCTTTTCTGTATTTTGTTTTCATATCAGTTTCTGTCCAAAAGTTACAAAACAAGTACAGAGAACTTAGATAATTTATACCAGATATTTTGGCTTCCCCAAAATGTGCCCCAAAGTAGAGAGGGGATTTGTTTACGCAGCTTTTTCTTAATTTGTGAGGAGGCAGGGTATAATGGCCTTATTTAAAGAGTAAGAAAAACCTCGATCGGCTGCACAAAGTCCTCCCCAAAGTTCCTTCCCCTTGTGGGAAGTGCCCGTCTCCTGGCTTTGTTTGCTGTGAGACTGGGCAGGAAAGGAGGAGACAAGAGCATCTGGAAGTGGAAAGGAGCAAAGCAGGTGAGGTGGGGGGGGGGGGGCTGCAGTGGTGGTGGCAGACTGTCACCAAGCAGTGTGCTGGAACCTTCACTTGCCTGGCGTCACCTCTCAGCCACCCGTGAGGGAGAGAGGACGTGAACTCTGGGAACAGTCACCCCAAATCATAGGTAGTGCCTGGGCTGGAACTCACATCCACATACCTGTTCCCCAAACCCCACCTTTTCTTTATTATGCTGTACTGTTTATTATTATAATTCCTGAAATATTTAACATTTTAATTTTCCCTTTTAAGTATTCTTACACCAAAATATGTGTTAATCAAAAACAGCCCAGAAAAACTATGTATAGAGAAAAACTGCTTTATTCTAATTGCACTCATTCAATCAGTCAGTCTTCCTAGCAGTGATTCAACAAAGTCAAGTAAAATTGAAGACATAATCCTATGATTTTCATTAAATATTTGCAGATAAAATTTTAGTGAAGAAGAAGCTTCAGGAAATGATTACCATGTGTGGACAGCCTTTCTTCTTGTACTCGGTGTGCTTTGCAGTTCTCACTAATACGCATCTTTTCTGATCCACCTCACTGCCGTCAGCCTCAGTCTCATTGAGCAGCGGTGAGGTAGAGAGGAGTTCTGGTTTCCTTTGAGGAAAGGGAGGACGTCTGCAAGAAATACCAGCTTAGTATCAATTTGCTTCAGTAATTTAGAAGATTGCTTTCAGGAAGTAGGTGACCTCTAGTTATGAAGGATGAAGAAGCACAGATGCTAAGGGTTTAGATGGACGGTCCATGTCCAGTGCACACAGATGCCGTTATCTGTTCCAGCAGTGTCTCTACTAGCATTCTTATTTTGTCCTTAAACCTGGACAGTAATTGTTCCTATGTGCAGCCAAGAAAAATGAAGCTTGGGTTAATTGTCAGAAAGTTCACAGTTAGTAAAGGATTCCCGAAAAACTTGGACGTAAGTCTTCTGATTGCTTTCTGTGAAACTCAAGTCAACAAAACAGAAATTATCAGCTATATGGACAGAAGCATGCAGACCTAACATTTTAGGGGCCCCAGTTAAGTCTTTGAAGAAGTAGAAAAATATGTCTCTTTGGCAAAGAAAGCCACAGCTACTGGCCTAAAAAGTAGTAAATACTTTTCCTTTTGCTATTATTTGTTGAACAGTTCAGAGCTGATGAAAAATCATTCCTATTTAAAAAAAAAAAATTGAATTTCAGTTTTATTCTTGATGCTTCTAGAGCTCTGGGGATACCCGTGACAGATCATACCTATGAAGACTGCAGATTGATGATTTCGGCAGGACAGCTAACATTGCCCATGGAAGCCGGGTTGGTGGAATTTACTAAAATTAGCCAGAAATTAAAGTAAGTACATTTTAAAATTATTGTACTTTCATAAAGGTGTCCAAAAGGAATTTGAAATCCTGTGTGCTTATTTTCTTTTCCTTTATTGATGCTCAGTTCTAGGACCAGATGTTTGTCAGGAAAGCCAGGGTCGTAAATTTACCGACTATTTTGTTCATCTGGTTTTGTTTTTTCAAGAATAGTTAGCTTCACCTGTAATCCCAGCTACTTGGGATGCAAAGGCAGGAAGATCATAAGTTTGAGACCAGCCTTGCCAATGTAAGTGAGACCCTGCCTCAAAATAATATTTAAAAAGGACTGGGAGTGCAGCTCAGTGGTGGAGGGTTGGCCTAGCGTATATGAAGCCCTGGATCCAAATGCAAAAAAAAAAAAAAAAACCTTCTGGAGATCTGTTCACCAGTCCCGGGAAGAAACCAAAAGATAGTAAGCATGAATCCAGACAAATTGCCTCTCTACTCAAATAGCTCAGAACAGTTGCTCAGTCTTGCCCTCTGCTTACAGGGAGGACAGCATCATTAGGTGGTACTGGCATATGGTAGTACTTCCCATGGGGAACATAAATTGACCTGTGTAATGGATATTCTGACCATCATTGAACATTCAGTACTTGCCTAGGTCAACTTTTTTCTTCTCTTCTGGGTCTTTGTTATTATTACTTTTTTAAAAGCCACCTTTAAAAAATTTGTATTTTTGTGATCTAATTTAAACCATTTAGAACCTTCCCTTGGAGCTATCTGGTATGAAAGGTGTAACCCTCAAACCCTCTCATGTTCAATTCATCCTGTTCTCAACCCTGTTAGGAATTTGTACAACTTTGATTTAATAGACCTTGGCATCCTCCCTAGGAAGGAGCTGCAGAACTTGTTACTATATCAAAGCTCAATATTAAAATAAAACATTTAAACAAGTGATATGGAAAATGTATATAGATATAGAAAAATACCTTCTAGATAACAAAATGTTTTGTTATTATGTTCACAATGTTCCCTCGATTTGATAAATGTAGCCAGTCACTGAAATTGGATTTGTAAATATGCATTAGGCTACTTGTTTAGTTCTACAAGGCAAAGGCAGGATGTGAGGTAAGCTTCTGTATATTTTCCAGTATTTTTATCACCCTGAGAATTTCTCACGTTTGAGGAAGTTCTAGTCTACCAAATCTCCTTCTCACAACATTTTCTGAAATACAATTTCATTATCATCCTGGAATTTCCTTGAAACAAGAATTATAACCTTTTGTAAAAACTCAGTAAATACTATTGATGTGCTAATAATGTTGAGGTTAAAATTTGCTTTTTGATTTTCTTCTCATAAGTCATTTATTATTCCACCCCATTGTTTGTCTTATTTACTTTTTCCTCTGTCAGATATTTAGTGTATTTTGAGTTATACAGATATGCTTTTAAAAACTAAATGCTTGCCTAATGTACAACATGTATTTGTATTTTTTAATTTTTCTTAATCTCCAACACACTGTTTTATTTCTTTTCAACACATGCTTTTAAATACCCATTTGATTCTCCCATTTGATTTCCTTTAAAAAAATGTATCAGATTCATATTTAATACATAAAATATTTTTCCCTCAGTCAAATGACTAGAACTGCCTATAAAATGTCCATGTCAACTGAAAAGAACTAGTAACATTTATATTTTTTGTTTAGATTGGATTGGGATGGCATCCGTAAGCATTTGGATGAATATGCGTCTATTGCACGTTCCTCAAAAGGTGGAAGAATTGGAATTGAAGAATTTGCTGAGTATTTAAAATTACCTGTTTCCGATGTCTTGAAACAACTTTTTGCTCTCTTTGACAGGGTATGTTAAAATTCAATCTTATTTTATTCTACCAGTTTTTACAGAGCATGAGGAATATGGCGGGTATTCAGAGTACTTTAGACCAGTGTTAGAAGAATCAAAGCTGAACACCAGCCGTGGTGGCATGTGCCTGTAATCCCAGCAGCTCTGGAGCCTGAGGCAGGAGGAAGGAGAGTTCAAAGCCAGCCTCAGCAAAAGCAAGGCATTAAGCAACTCAAGTGAGACCCTGTCTCTAAATACAATACAAAATAGGGCTGGGGATGTGGCTCAGTGGTTGTGCCCCTGAGTTCAATCCCCAATACCAAAAAAGAAAAAAAAAAAAAAGAATCAAGGCTGAGCTTGTGGTTTAATTACGTGATTTAATTTTTCCTAGCAACAATAATAATAATAATGTATGTGTGCAACATTTATGATATTGTCTATTTATTTTAAATACCAGGTGATAAATAAATATTGTGACCATATAGCCACATTTGTAATATGGAAATGGAAAAGTTTATATAATTGTCAAGAATTTTAAAGTTTATATCTAAATTTACATATCAATCTCATGTGATAATGTTCTGTCCTGAGAGTTTCTGGATTTATCCAAAAGTATGTGAAGATCAAATAGATTTTATTTTTGGAAGATGCTTTGTAACAAAGGTTTCAATTTTGTCACAAAGGTTTCAGTTAAACTCTTGGCTGCTTGTTAATTTTAAGTACATGTAATTAGTACATGCAATTGAATTGTCAAAAAATTTCCTAGAAAATATATCAAGATTTTAAACTCTCTGCTTTTTAATTGTTTTCTAGCATATAAAATCAGTAGTAAAATGCACTCTTTGGGTTATAATTCTCTGAGTTCTAACAAATGCATAGAGGCAGGTAACTACCATTGTGTTTAAAATACATAACAGTTATACCCCGCCCCCCCAAAAAAAATAATAATCCCATTGTAGTTATCTACTCATTTGTAGACAAGCTTTGGCCCTACCTGTAATGCTTGGCGATCACTAATTAGCTCTCGTCCCTGTAGTTTTACATTTTCCAGATGCCCTATAAATGGAATCATACACTATTATGGTTTTTGAGTCTGTCTCCTTTCACTTAGCATAATGCATTTAAGATTTAGCCAGAGTGTTGTATGTTTCAATAGTTTCTCCCCTTTTATTACTGAGTAATATTCCATTGTATGGATGTACCATAGTTTATCTGTTCCTCTGTTGCAGAACATTTGCTTTGTGTCTAGTCATGGATAATGATGAATACAGATATAATCTAAATGTTCGTGTATAGGTTTTTATATAAATGTTGATTTTAATTTAATTTCATTTGGGTGAATATCTAGGAGTATGAGCTCTTTATTTTTCCTTCTCAGTATATGACTGTTTTGCAATTGTTCCTAAGGGACATTTGTGTTGTAGGTAGAATTCCAACTTGACTGTTCTTCTAACAATTTAAAGTCATCCTCCTGTCTTTGATCTCCATGGTTTCACATCCTTACTGATTATTCTCCAAGTTTTTGAATTTCCTCACCAGTCCTGCTGCTGGGGTGGTTTGGGCAGAGGTAGTTACTTTTTGTACTTGTGTTCAGTGATTCTCGTTGTAATTGGGAGAGAGAGGCTAAACTGGGTTTATTCCATTTTGGCTGGTACTGGAAGTCCTGGTATTAACTACCAGAAAAAGGTACTTTGCAAAGAAATTATAACTTGATAACAGATAGGACAGGGTATTTTTGTTTCTTTGACTTTTTGGTTTTTTTCTTCTTTCCTAGAGTACACCAGTGTGCCTAATGACTTATTCTGTGATCACACAGATGAATGATTCTTTACTGTGGTACTCTTCAGCAACCTCCTTCTATATGTAGGACCTGGGCCTCATTCATTGCTTGCTCACAGCATACAAATAATTTGTTCTCCCTCATGAAATGACCATGTTTCAATGCTACAGTGTGACTATAAAGTGTAATGAAGATTTAGGGGAAAGGAGAAGGATGTCATTGGATTTAACTTTGTAAACTGGGAAATTAGAGATACCTTTTTCCTTGTATATTAATTGTCTTTTTACAAGATTTATGTGGCAGCTACCATGATGGCTGTAGACACTATGCAATTTGAAATGGCATTTCTCTGTATGAATTTGGTGTCAGGAAGGAATATGGCAGGGACATACAAACAAGGACTGGATGGGGGGAAATGAGAGGGACCGAAACAGGGACAGAGGAGGAGTTTATAGCACATCTTAGACATTGTGCTCACTGGGATTTAAAATAAACATTAAACACAGTATCTGTAGAGGTTGCCCTGTCCTCGAGGTGTCAAACTGTCATAGTTTGCAGTCACAGAATTGTTAGGACACTAGTTCTGACTTCTGATGATGAGTGATAACCCACCAACAGCCCACTGTTTCTATGGCACTGTTAATTTTAGGAAGATCTGGGAGTGGGGACGGGGCACAAAGCGAGCATTAAAACATTGGCTCACTTTGAACTGGAGCAGTCAGCTGACCCAGGCGCTTGGAGACCCTTGAGCAGTGTAGCCCACTGGTCAGTCGTGCTTCTCCGTGGCTGCTTCCATAGGCTCTGATACCATTTATAACTGAGTTTTCTTCACTTCTTTAAATGATGTGATATAGCCCCAGAGATGAACCTTAAGCTGGTCTAGAAATGCTTTTCTTGTGGCTCTTCAACCTACTGGAAGATCAGGGAGAATAATGACTCAGGCTCTTGTTTCTCCCTCCCGCTCCCCCTGTTTAGCACACCTGCATGTCTGTGCCTGTGAGGTTCTCTCTGTTTTGAGAAGCTGAGCTATGCAATGTTGCCATGCCTTGGGCACATATCTGCTTCCAAGCCGGTCTCCTTTGTTCAGTCTGTTAAAGGGACCTCGCTGAGGAACATTCGATGGGAAGAGCAAGGAGGCTCGGGCGCTCCGCAGTGGTTTCTGTAGGAGTAGCCTATCTGGCTGCATTCAGTGCTTACCAGGGCTGGGGTTGGGGAGAGACAGGGCTGAGTTCCTGTCGCTCTCCAGCAGCTGTAACTTCTTGCAGTGCCAAACTCCCAAAGCCCCTCCCTCACCCCCTTCCCATTTTATCGCCTTCCTCTCCACTCCCCCACCCCTTTATTTTCCTTTCTCAGTCTTTTCCAAGTCTGTTACAGGTGTGGTTCAGATTTGGGGGATGGAGAAGGGATCTGGTTCTCTCTCCATCATTCCTTCATTCTTTTCAGTGTGTTCTTGGCTAGTCTACAAAAACTTCATAACAGTTTCTGCCTTAGTTTGTCCTTAAAAATACGTTATTAGATCCTTCTAGCATGTTCTTTAGAATCTCAAATATTTGGTGACAGACCGTTTGAAGGTCCAACAAAAATATGGCATTCATGATCCGAAGCAGAGCAGAGTTTGCTAGTTTGGAATAATTTCTTTAGAAAGATTCAATCTCTTTGGAAAACAAAACAAAACAAAAAACAAATCTTTTTATCTTTGGGTTCAAGTTAGCATCTTTATCTTCATGAATATGTATTGAATATGAATACTCCAGATCAGAGGCTAATTAGGGATTCGCCAGAGTTGAAGCCTGGAAAAGTGGTTTAAAATCACTACCTTCTCTCAGTGTCTTCATATTCCTAATTCAAATTAAGTACCACATATTTTGCTAGCACACTTGACGGGATTTAAAAGCATTTAATGAGATTAAGAAATAATACAGTCTAAATGAGAAGCAATTACAAAGCAGTCATTTTTACAGTTATAAAAGTGTCTGTGTCATTCATTTTGTTCTTAAACTGTGCAGTTGAGTAGACCCGTATGCTGCCCTCATAGCAGTATCTCGTGTACTATGAGATAGCCCTCAAATATTTCAGTAAGAACGTAATTGTTGTTGTGAGTTTGCCAACACACCATGCTGTCTTCTTGCTACTAGCATGCCTTCCACCCTCCATCTCAGGACGTGTCCAGCTTGATGTTCCACCTGACACCATGCCACAACAGCGTGCATGCTCCCTGCTCACAACCTATATTTCAAGCTATATTCCAGAGTCAGTTAAGTATTTTGGAAGCAAAATATTTTTGACTCTGCAGGCCATAAGGTCTCTGTTGTAAATATTCATCTCTGCCACTGAGGTATGAAGGCAGCCATAAACAGTGCGCAGACAAATGGGCATAACTGCACCCCAATAAAACTTTATCTCCAAAAATGGCACCAGTCTGGATCTAGCCAACAGCTGTAATTTGCTGATCCTGGTGTATCACCTAAGCCGATGCAAACAAAGCATGCTGGCAGGTTTAAGGAATGGATTGAAGGATGCCTGTCTGTTCTTACAGTGACCACTGTTAACCTGTGGGATCTTCACATTGGATTGAAAGCAGATCACTGGGAATCTTAATCTGGACTAATCTGTGTTCCTCTTGTTAATATCCTCCCACAACTCTAACTAGTAGTATATCCTTCATCTTCACACATGAGAGGAAAAGAAGGAGGAAGATGGATTTTCAGTTCCTCAGCTGTAGTCTGAGTCTACCTTGTTTTTCCAGTCCTCTTAGGACATAATAGAACGTTGCCTAGTAAAATTTAGACGGTTATTATTGCCATTCTATAAAAACAGTTGGACTAGTGCCATGAGGTTTCTTGTTTCTGCTAGCTAGTACTCGCTCGCTGCTTCTGGCATTGCAATGTGCTTTGCTTAAATATTAGACAGGAAAAGTTTGTGTCTACTTTAGCACTTTGGCAACCCAGGCTTTGGGGCTATTGTAAACTTCTGTAAATCTTTTGTTACTGTTTCATTATGTGGAATGAATGTTTCTTTATCCCAAGTTCTTCCTGCCTGTCCTGTTCTTGGTTTCAGTTCAAGTGTCAGTCTGGAGTGCCAGTAATAACAGGCGTCCCCTCTGCCCCTTCCTGTTCGGGAGGGGGGGTGTTGTCTCCTACAGGTTTTTTTCTCATGCTGAAAGTTGGGGCAGGATACCTAGGTGGCTTTAGTGATTGAAAATAAACTGTAAAATTTCTATCATTTAAATTTGCAGTTCAGATTTGATAAGTAATACAGTATTAAATAGTTCACATGAGAACGCATCTTGATTCCAATCTCAGTTTGCCGGGACTTGCAATGTGAAACCCACTCTAATTCATATTATATAATTTTTTAGTAAAGGCTATGATTTTCTGGGTGGAACAGATGAACTTTTCTATTCAGTCATCCTGAAAGCCAAGTCATTCTATATATCTGAGCCCTTTCCTCTTCAGTTCTCAGGTTGACTTGACTCCCATCAGCCCATCACTCTATTTTCTCTGTCTGAGGGCTGTTGTACTAGAAATATCTGTTTAGACCTGAGAATCATGTACTTTACTTTTGTCTTTTCAATGCCTGTATAGCAGGGAGATGAACAGAGGAAGTGAAGGAGTCTGCATAAAACTCAATCTTGACTTTTGAACTAAAGCAGATGATCAGTGATTGGCCTCCTTCAAGACCTTAAGGAAGTAGAGAACAGAGCTCTGTAAAGAATGGATTGCATCAGATCCATCTAATTTCCTCTGATGACAAAGTGACAGTCCAAAATGATAAGGGAAAAATAGATATTATCTATATGGATTCTAGAAAGGCTTTTGATTTCATCCAATGTGACATTCTTATCAACAAATTAGGAGAGTCTGGTCTTGATCACATTGCAGTGAGGTGAAATTCCCACTTGATCGAGAGGTTTGATCCAAACTCAGAGTCGTAGGTCCTTATGTTAGTCTAAACCAGGTTCTTTTCTCCCTTCTTGGAATTGTTTGAAGGAGCCACCTACTTGATGGGTTGAGATCAGGAATTCTTTGGAAACAGTCAGTGTGTCAAAGTGGGAATAAGGGTAAATACGCTTGTCTTCAAATTAATGGAACCAGACTCAAGATACAGAATGATTAAGTTGATATGTAGCATGGAAAGGCTCAGGGACCAAAAGGACCCTTAACTGAATGTAAGAGAAGGCCTCTGCTGTCGCTGGAAATCTAGACTCGTAGAACTGGAGAGCTAGAGGAGCCTTGGGAGCACATTGTTCATCCTCTTCATTTGCAGAAGGGTTGCTAGCCCAGGAAGGGGGGTGTATGCTGTTAGCATTGACTTAAAAACAAAACTTCCTCAAAGCATATTTTACATACCATAGAATTTCCTTACTTCAAGTATATATAATGCAATGATTTTTTTAAATTTTTTTTTAAAGAGAGAGAGAGAGAGAGAATTTTTTAATATTTATTTTTTAGTTTTTGGCAGACATAACATCTTTGTTTGTATGTGGTACTGAGGATCGAACCCGGGCTGCACGCATGCCAGGCAAGCGCGCTACCACTTGAGCCACATCTCCAGTCCAAATGCAATGATTTTTTAAAAAATGCATTTACCAGGTTGTGTAGCTATCACCAACGATCAGTGTTAGAACATTTTCATCAACTCAGTATGACTCCTTGTGGCATTAACTGTAAATTCCTGTCAACTACTTATCTCCCAGCCCTAGGCAACCATCAATCTACTTTTTATTAATTTCTATAATCTATGTTTCTATAATCTTGCCTTTCTTTTCTGGCTATTTCATGTAAATGAGATCTTACAATATATGGTGTCTTGTGTTTGGTTTTTTCCATCTATTTATTTATTTTTCTCTTTTATGGTACTGAGAATTGAACCAGGGCTTTGTACATGCTAGGTAAGCTCTACCACTGAGCTATAGCCCCTGCTTCTTTCACTTAGCATAATGTTTGAAGTTCATCTATGTAATATGTATCAAGAATTCATTCTCATTTATTGCTGAATAGTATCCCTTGATATGGATGTGTTCTGTTTTGTTTATCCATTCGCCAGTTGGTAGACACTCAGGTTGTCTCCACTTTGGGCTACTGTGAATAATGTCGTTGATAACATTCACGTCATTGTTTAAAGTTCAATAACTCTTCCTTCACAAATTTGCGTGAAATTCTCCATTAGGTGTGGCCTCTTCTTGTACCCTTTTTCTCCAAGGATGCTCTGTAGAGTTCCCTCCAAGATGGAACTCTGGTTGTTATTAATGTTCTAATAAATAGCCTTAGGGGATTAGATAGTCCAGAGAAGAAAAAGCTTGTTAATCTAATACCTGTCTTTTGTTCTCTGATGGCTTATGAGAAATTATTAACCAAATGTCCTCCTTCTTCACAGAAAATAAATAAGAGGGACTGAATTTAAATTGTAGCAAAAAAAAAAAAAAAACACTTCAGGTGGGCATAAGGAAGCACATTGTATGATAGTGGATGCTATCAAGTTAATTTGCAATATTACAAAACAAAGCCCATTCAGTTTCCTCTGAGAGAAGCTTCTGTGCATGCATTTAAATCCATCCAAGGCCAGATGGCCTCTGTGAATCCTAAAAGCCAGGCAGTCTTTTTGTGGTACTTTTCTTTGTGGTTAAGGAAGACATTTGTCTGTTGGTGTTCAGAGATCATTTCATTGTACCCATGAAAAATAAAACTAGTCATTGGACAGTTTTATTTAAACCACGGGCTATAACAGAAGGAGGCATGATATTCTCCCATGTCCTAAAGATAGCAATGTCCCCTATCTACTATTCTTTCCCAAATAATAGCAGGACTCATCATTACTCAGTTCTAGCACTTTATGGCTTAAAAATTAATTTACAATGCATTAGACGAATGATCTTGAAAATGTATACTTGCTTAACTTTTCTGTTTTCTTTTTTTCTCATCTGGAATACTTTTATGATTTTAAGAGGAATTTTATGAAACCTAGATACCAAAACATATTTTATACAAATGTAGGAGATTAGTATTAATAGTAGAAATGTGAACATGGTCATCAGCTTATAACTACAACTAGTCCCTGTGGATCTACGTGGTCCTTGAGCACAGCAATGCTGTTGTATTTGCATTTGTATCCTAAGCACTGGGTCTAAGCCCTGATATAATAAATCAGATTGAATTTTTTTTTATTTAAAAGTTTTTTTATTGGTGTATAGTACTTACAGAAAATGTTGGGGTTTCACTGTGGCATATTCATAGATATGTAAAAGTCTCATTTGAATTACTTTGAAGTAAGCAGGGGAGATGCTATTATCATCATTTTGCAGACTTGAAATTAAGACCCAAAGTGCTATAATAGTTTAGTCTGTAAGTCTGTGATTTCACGAATACAATTTTTGAATACTTGGAAGACTAGAACTCTGACTCTACCTAATATCAAAGGTAGGGTTTCTCAAAGTATGCATGGGATTTCCTGTTACAGTCTGACTTCTGACTTCTGAAGATGCTTATTAAAAATAGAAAATCAAATCTCACAAATGTAATGTTGAAGAAAGCATCCAAGTATGAAAGCAAGCCAAAAAATTAGAAATAGAAAAGGAAACTTAACTATCAATTTTTATAGAAATAAAAAGGATTATAAACAAGTGCTGTGAACAACTGTATGCTACCAAATTGGATAACTTAGATGAGACTGACAAATTCCTAGAAATACACAATCTAGTAAGGCCGAATCCTGAAGGAAAAAAAAAAAATCTGAAAAGACCTGTAAAACTAGAAAGGATACTGAATCAGTAGTCAAAAACTTCCCCCAAAAGAAAAGCTAGGGGCCAGATCCTTTCACGCATTCTGTGAGGCCAGCATCACCCTGATAACATAGTCTAGAAAGATACTACAAGAAAAGAAAACTATAGACCAGTGTTCCATATGACTATTGATATAAAAATCCTCAACAAAATACTGGCAGACAGAATCAGTAACCTATTAAAAGAATTGTACGCCATGATTAAGTAGGATTTACTCTTAGAATGCAAGAATGGTTCAGTATGTAAAGATCAACCCATGTAATACGTAACATTATGAGAAGGAAGTGGGGAAAATCACATTGTTACGTTATCTTCTCACTGATGCAGAAAACGCATTTGACAGAATCCCATACCTTTCAGTATAAAAACACTCAACACACTAGGAATAGAAAAAAAACGTTCCTCAACATAATAAATGCCATTTATGAAAAGCCCACAGACAATGTCAGACTCAGCGGAGAAAGATCAAAAGTATTTCCTCTGAGACAAGGAACAAGACTACTATATCCACTTTCTCCTTTTCTATTTAACATAGTGTAGAAATCATAGCCAGCACAATTAGACAAGGAAAAGGAATAAAAGCCATGTGAATTAGAAAGGAGGAAGCAAAATTATCCATGTTCACAGGTGGCATGATTGTATTTGTAGAAGCCTTATAGATTCCACACAAAAGTTAGAGCTGAGAAATGAATTTAGCAAAGTTGCAGGATATAAAATCACTAAATAAAAGCAGTTGCATTTCTATACACTAACAATGAACAACATGAGAAGGAAATTAAGAAAACAATTTCATTATTGTAACATCAAAAAGAATAAAATATTTAGGAATAAACCTAAGAAGTTAAAAGACCTGTATACTGAAAGCTACAAAGCATTGCTAAAAGAAATTAAAGACAAATAAATAGGAAGACGTTTCATGTTCATGAATTAGAAGACTTAATATTTTAAGATGCCAGTATTACCCAAACAAAATTCCAGCAATGATTTTTTTTTTACAGAAATAGAAAAACCACAGTCCTGGTGTCTGAGTGATTCCCAGGGCCCAGCAAAGGGACCAATTTCCAGAGCCCTGAAGACCAGGGGTAACACACCAAAATAGGGACTCCTTTTCCACTCCACCTTCATTGGCCCAGCAGCTGCCAAGAACAAAGGCAGTATCTCCTGGTACCTGGAAAACAAATGCAGTATCACCTCACAGATGGATTGTTTCTCTGATGTTCCCATGAGTGTATTGGGGGAGAAGCTTCAAGGACAAGTGGAGGAGCAGCGCTGTCCTTCTGTGAGACTGGAGAGGTTCCACGGAAGAATCTGGACGTCATAAAGAAAACAGTGGTTCAGGCAGGAAACTGGAGAAACAGGAGAAGAAGCGCTTCAAGAAAAATAAATAGAAAAACCAATTATAAAATACGTATTACAGCTCAAGTTATCTAGAAATAACCAAAACAATCTTGAAAAGAAGAACAAGGTTGGAGGTCTCAGATTTCCTGGTATCAAAACTATATCACTACAAATCTATAGTAATCAAAATAGTCCAAGCATAAGGAGAGACACATAAACCAATAACATAGAATAGAGATCCCAGAAATAAACCCTTGTATATATGATAGAGTGATTTTCAACAAGGGTACAAAAACTGTTCAATGCGGAAAGGACAGTCTTCAACAAATGGAGCTTCAACAACTGTATCCATGTGCAAAATAATGAAGTTACGTTATACCACGTTATGGTTTAGATATGAGGCATCCCCAAAAAAACTCATGTGTGAGAAAATGCAAGAAAGTTTAGAGGTGAAATGATTGGGTTGTGAGAGCCTTAATCTGATCAGTATATTAATCCAATGATAGTAATTAGTGGTCAGTAATGCAGGCAGGTGGGGCGTGGTTGGAGAAGTCTATCACTGGGGAAGTGCCCTTAGGGCTTTATCTTGTCCCTGATGAGCAGAGCTCTCCCTCTGCTTCCTGGTTGCCATGTCTAGAATTGCTCTTCTCCTCCATGCCCTCTACCTGATGTTTTGCTTCACCTGGGACCCAGAGCAATGGAGTCAGCTATTTAAGGACTGAGACCTCAGAAACTGTGAGCCAAAGTCAACTTTTCCTCCTCTACATTGTTTTTGTGAGGTCTTTTGGTCACAGCAGCAACAACAACAACAAAAACCAAACTGACTAAAACACACTGTTAAACAGATTAACCCAAAATAAATCAAAAGAACTGACACCATAAATCTCTTAGATGAAAACAGATGGTAAAAGTTTCATGACCCTGGATTTCTCAATGATTTTTGGATATATTACCAACAACAGCACAGACAACAAAAGGCCACATCAAAATTTAAAACTTTTATGCATCTAAGAACAACAGAGCAGAAAGGTAACCCACAGAATGGGAGAAAATATTTATAAATCATATATTTGATCAGAAATCAGTACCCACAATATTAAAGAATTTTTACAATTCAACAATAATAATAATTTAAAGAAAAAATTTAAAAATGTTCGAAGGATTTGAATAGACATTTCTCCAAAGAAGATTAAACGAATGTCCAGTAAGCAGGAGAAAAGATGTTCAACATCAAGCTTCTGGGGGGAGATAGAATGTTGCAGCCAATGTGGGAAGTAGTATGGGAGTTCCCCAGAATGATAAAAATAGAATTATCATATCCTCTAGCAACTCCACTTTTAGGCACATACCCAAAAGAATTGACATTGGGTACTTAAACAGGTGTTTGTACACCCATGTTCTTAGTTGCATTCTTCACCATAGCCAAAAGAGGGAAGCAGCCCATGTGTCCACCAGCGGATGAATGGAAAGACAGAGCTTGGCATGTTTACACAATGGGATATCATTCATCCCCAGGAAGGAATGACATCCTGAGACATACTACAACATGGGTGAACATCAGAGACATTAAGTGGAGTAAACCTGTCACAAAGAGGACACAAATGCTACATACTTCCACTTTTATAAGCCATACAGAGTAGTCAAATTCATAGAGACAGGAGGTAGAATTAGGATGAGAGGAGGAGTGAATTGAAGATGAAAAGTATATACTATATTATTTCATTAAGATGCAAAAATTAATTTATGGTGCTAGATGTCAGGATATCAGTTACCTTGGCAGAGGTGAATAAGAAGAAAGAAGTTTTGAAGAAAGAAGCTTTTTCTGGGGTGCTGGTGAGGTTCGTTTCTGGATCTGGGTGCTGGGACACAGATATGTACCATCAATGGAACTCTTTGAGCCGTACAGTTACAGTTTGTATGTTTTTCTGTATAAATGATATACTTTTTAAAAATCCCAAAATAATCATGGACCCCGCCCAAGCAGGGCTCCAGAATCAGAATGTCTGAGGGTGGGACCTGGGCACCTGGCATTTTAAAAACCCTCTTCCAGGTTTTTCTTAAGAACATTGGACTTTGAAAATCTCTGCTCTAGACAGGGTATTGGTAAGTATCTTTCCGATGCTCAATAATTCTTTGATGACACTCCCCTTATAACAAATATCCCTTAGAAAAAGAAATTGACGATTTCTTTGAATCATTTACCTTCTCCTCCTGGGAAAATGCATACCGCCTTTCAGGTGCTGAGAAAAAGAACTAAGAAAGCAATGGCAGGTAGAAATGTATAGTTTTACATTTTCTATGTAAAATATTCTCATGTGTGGCGATAGAATAATGTATCAATATTTATCTGGAAGAATCAAAAACAATTTTATTGAGGCCCTCTAAAAGTATGGCAGGTGCTAGGACCTGGAGGCATCAGGCAACTTCAGGTGGAGATGAGACTTCCCTTGGGGAGGCGTGGTGCTGTGGAGCAGGTCTGAAAAGCCAGTTCTCCCACACCTGAGCTACCTGCGCTCCACCCCCGCTCTCCCTATACAGTCTCCCAGGTATAGGAGATAAAAGCTGCTGAAATTTTTACACTTTTGCTTGTTGAAAGAATGTTTCTTGCAAAGGCCTTGTTGGAAGGGGCCGATCGAGGTCTTGGAGAAGCTCTTGGAGGTCTCATTGGAGGAGGTGTCCAGAGAAGAGGAGGAGGAGGAAGCATTGGCGGGATCATGGGGGGCATTGTGAACCTGATCAGCGAGGCTGCTGCCGCTCAGTATACCCCGGAGCCGCCGCCGCCCACCCAGCAGCACTTCACCACCGTGGAAGCCTCGGAGAGCGAGGAGGTGAGGCGTTTTCGGCACCAGTTTGCGCAGCTGGCTGGACCCGACATGGAGGTGGGTGCCACTGACCTGATGAACATTCTCAACAAAGTCCTTGCGAAGCACAAGTATCTGAAGACCGCCAGATTTAGCCTGGACACGTGCCGCAGCATCGTATCGGTCATGGACAGCGACACCACGGGGAAGCTGGGCTTCGAGGAGTTCAAGTATCTGTGGAACAACATCAAGAGGTGGCAGTGCGTCTACCTGCAGTACGTCAGGGACGGTTCCGGGTCTCTGGGGAGATCCCAGCTGCGGGAAGCTCTGCAGGCAGCAGGCTTCCAGCTGAACGAACAGCTTTACCAAATGATCGTCCGCCGGTACGTCGACGAGGACGGGGGCATGGACTTCAACGACTTCATCAGCTGCCTGGTCCGCCTGGACGCCATGTTCCGTGCCTTCAAGTCCCTGGACAGAGATGCAGATGGCCTGATTCAGGTGTCCATCCAAGAATGGCTGCAGCTGACCATGTATTCCTGAAGTGGGCAGAGAAGCCAGGAGGCTCCCTGAGGGACAGGACTGCTGAAGGTCCTGCCACTCTGTCCACGCTTGCTGTGACCCAGCCCAACAGCTGTCACTTCCGGACGAGCCCTCTTAGGAGCCCTGCACATTTCTGATAACGGGCTACCCTTAGCTCCTTAATTAAAATAGTTTTTTTTTTTTTTTAATGAAAACTGCTCAGTGGTTTGTATATCAGCCCGGGAGATAGCAGGTGTACGTAGATGTATGTATGTAGTGGGGAGGTAGTCGGCGGGGGAGTTCTAGTGGAATAGAATTTAAGGCGTGGTTGCTTATTGGGCTAATGAATTCCAACCATTTGGAACTTTGTCCTTGTTGTGACTGTTGTTAGTAATGAAATTCTTTTTAATCCTGAAATAAATTAACAGAGCACTCCAGAGGTATATTTTCTTTTAAAAATGGAAGGAGAGAAGTTTAAAATCTGTTTTTCTCATTCACATCTGGTCTTTTCATTATGTACAAAAATAAAAGGTACTTTCCAGGAACCCTATTTAATTGTATAGAAACAGGTTCAGAAATGTGAAATTAAGGGATTTTATGTAAAGGTAGATTTTTTTTTAAATGATGCTAAAATTCTAGAATTCTTTAGTTCTTTTTTCTAGTAAAAGAAACAGAAATTTAGGGTTATTTTAATATATTTGTGTTTTTTTTTTAAAGTCGTGGGCATTGAGGAATAAAAGGATATGCCCATAGTTCAAAAATGTCTTCAGTTGCCTTAATGAATCAAAATGATCACTCTTAAATGTACATCATGCAAAGTTAGGCGTGCCTGGTTGATCTTACACAGTGCTTGTCATGTCTTGCCTTACCTTAGAGCAAGGAAATTCTTTTGCTTATCTTAAAACTGTAGGCAGGGGGGAAAAAACTAACAAAGAAAACAAATAGTAATTAGCTAAATGGAATATGAAGCAATATAGAGAACAAATGTCGCTGTGGTTCTCAGCCCTGACTGAAGTTTAGATTCACCAAGAGAGGTCTTTAGGAATACTAATGCCTGAGCCCAGCTCCAAATACCTTAAAGTAGTCTCTTTAGAGGTGGGGCGTGCAGATGGATATTCTGAAAGCTCCCCTGGGGATTCTGAGGAGCAGCCAAGATTGACAGCCCTAACTGCTACTTGTAGTACTCTGTCTCCTTGAAATAGTTTTCAAATCTGTCTCAGCCAAAACAGGCCAAACAGGAAAGTCAGTGTTCCCTACGTCCAGGAGAAGGAAGATAGGATGCTGAGAAACTGCCACCCAGGAGGTGAGATAGTTGTGCCTTTCTTGAGCATGACCCTTAGTTTGGTTTTATAACTTTGATACAGGCTGTTAGAGTGGAGAATGCAGAATCCAGGATCCCCTGGTGAGTCTGCTCAGCAAGACAGGCTGCATTTGCAAGTGCTCAGCTCCCCTGGCTGCTATTGAATGGGTTCCCATCCCTTCTGCTGCTCTGTTTTTTAATGCATTCCCTCTATCCCAGGCTTCTTCGCAGGGTCCTCCTGAGTCGGAAGATAAATTCTTCTTTCCTCCTTTGACTCATTCAGAAGAAAGTTGTAACTGTTGCAATGATGTAACTGGCCTATTAGAAATCCCCAGAGAAACTGAGAGAGATTGGCATTGGGCCTGGGTGCTCCCCATCATCACCATCATTTAATATTTATGAAACACCACACACATGTAATTTTGAGCTGAGCCAAGCACAGAGAGCACGTCCACTTTCCTCAAGGGACTTATAACTCAACTTGGTCTGGTAAGCTACTTAGACCAGGTGTGGTTATATAAGCATGAGGTTGCAGCCAGCAACCACACATTAATATTCAAGAAGAAGCCAGGAATATGTCAGGTCTGGAGCAGCCAGGAAAGGAAAAGGTTGCCAAGATGTCTTCTAAGGACTCAAATATTTCAAGTTTTTAATTGAATTTTCCCACATGATGATTGTGGGAAGGACAATGTGTAGTTAAATTTTTGCTTCAAACATCATTGTAACTGCTTTATTAAAAGGTAAGACAATCATCTCACATTAGTGGTGGTGTTATTTTCCCTCTTCCTCATGTTGAGGGATTGCCTATGATTCTCCAGCATGCAGATGAGAAAGCATCCTGAAGTAACCCCAGTGTATCTTCTGTTCTTTCTAAGTTTGGGTTAAATTTGTATAAATTTGTATGTAGTCACCAGCATGGCTACTAAAAATTTCAGTCCAAACCTAAGTGATTGAATTTCTTAGTTTTCATTTAATCTTTTATGTTTTGGAGGAATATTTTCAATGTTAGAAGAAGTATTAATTGACAGTGTTTTAAAATTTTGTCCATTTCTAAATGGAAGACTACTATAGCCTAAGACGCAGGTCTTTGGTGTATCTATTCCATTATTTTAAAATTTATAATATTAATCAATGTAGTAAATTGAAACTAGTGATAAAATATGTGAAGTTGTACCATTTATACTTTCAATTTCAAAATATCCCATGTGATTTTGAAAACAATAACTTCGTCTTCATGTAATCCACTAAATTCTTCAACCCGATAAAGCAGGGAAAGGATCAGGGAGCTTTGTGGTTAAGAGCCGCAAACTTTTAAAAACATTTAAATTTCCTACGTCATCCTCAAGGTCACTTCTTAAATATTTTTGAGGAGCACTGAATGTGTTTTGGAAAGCTGACTAACAAAGCGATCTCAGTCAGAAATCTTATCAGCATTGCACAAATACCCAGAATGGGGACATAAAAAATATTTGTGGAAGCAACTGCAGGGTACTGATGTTAATGTGTATTGATCTTGAAGAACTTCCAGAATTACTTTTTTAAAGTGTTTGCTTTAAGTGCTAAGTAAATTAAAAATATTTAATTCCAAGAAAATTGGTGACACACTTATCTGTGTGGTAGAAACAGACTCAATCCCAGTAAACAGACTTCTCTTCTCTGATTCTTTGGATAACTGAGAATTTACTGTATTTTAATGATACCATTTCTTTGAATTGTAGTTTACCTTCAGCAACTTGAAGACTTTTGTTGGCTGCTGGCTAGTAAAATCTGTTTTATATAAACATTTAAACTTACTTTGAGAACATTGATTATCTCTATATGCAGACACAATTTTATATCAATTATAAAAACACAATAAAAAGAAAATAGTCCCTATTCTTTGGAGTTTTTCATTGCCAAATGTATACCAAACATAGCCTTAAATATTGCTAGACTTAAAAGTTATAAAGATTATCTTATCCCATATGAATAAAAATGTTGAATAAATCCAACTGTGAAATAACCTTAGAGAATTGAAACTTGAGAATCGGGCCATTTACTCCTTGATTGGGCGGTAAATGAACAAGCAGCCTAGAACCTTCCTCTGGCCCTGGAAGCTAAGCAGATGGAAGCAGCTGGGTGGCGAGGGGCTCACAGTGACACACGGGCATTTCTGATTTTCTGACCTGTTGACCTGAAGGGGATGAGGCCCACATCCTGGAGCTTTGTCACACATCTTTTTGCAATGACTCAAAGTAACTCCTTGGTTCCAACTCTGCATTGTACCTGAGCGACAGGTTGGGACAAATTATAGATGGGTTAGGGACTGCCACCAAATAGCTGGTCTCTTTCTTTGAAATATGGCCCTGAAAAGATTTTCAAGTCTAGATGTTTTTATTAAGTTTATAATTCTTCCAAGGGAACTTGGTAAGTATTTAAAAGACAGAGCCATAGATTTGTGAATTAATTTGTGTCATGAAACTGATTCATAAGACAAAAATCGGTGTATGTTGCTATTAACTTTTTATCTGTTTTTAAATATATTTTATCAAGTCACTTGCTTTATTTTGAATGACTGGCATTCAGACTACCTAAATTATAGTTGCAGTTAGAGCAATAGTGAGTTTTGTAACCTGAAGAGAAATATATATCTCAGGGCTTTTTTTATTAGTAAAAATGAAGAAATTGGATGATTTGTAAGATTCCTTCCAGTTCCAAATTTTATTATGAATTTAGAACCTTTGCAATGTCTTATTTTATTAATATAGTAAGATAATCCCTTAGAATAATTTACATGCTGTTTTTTTCCCCCTGAACATTACTAGAAAGAAAACTTCCATAGACTTTTTAATGTGACTAAGTCAAGGGTCTACCTTAATATAATTTTGTCAGTCAAAACTACTCATAAATAAGAGACTGTTAGTGAAAATTAAGGGTCTAGAATTTTACCTTGTTCTGTGACTCATGGTAATAGCAAGGACCTATTATTGTTCCCCTTCTCCCTCACAGAGTAAGTTCCTATTCTTGACCTGTGTTTTGCATAAGGTTTGGGAGTGTGGGTAAAATTTGGATATCTCACAATAGAGGTACAAAGTAAATTCAAAGGAGTATTTCCAATCCTGTAGGCAATCTATTATTGTAATTTAAGCGTTTGTACATCATTTTTAGATCTATTCTTCAGAACTTCTATGTAAGACTTCTGTTTTGATTAGTGGGAAAAGCCACCGAAAGCTTTCCGTGTCGAGCTATACAGCTATGACTTGGTCAGCCCCTCAATCTCTAAGACTCCTTAAAACAGCCCTCCATGGTGCACAGAAAAAATTGAAGGGTGGTGGCCCTAGAAGGAAATTATGTTCCCTAGAACCGCCTCCTGAAACTTCTCAGGGGATGTAATGTTAGTGTTGATTGGTGGCTGCCAGGGGGCACCATGTGTCAATCAGACAACCCACTTAAAATGGATGCATTTTACTGAATGTAAAAGATACCTCAATAAACTTGATTAAAGAAAATAAAAAAAAAGACAGCCCCCTACTTTTCTACCTTCCAGACAAATATGGCAGTCACATGACCCGAGTTTTCATCTTGGGAATAAACCCTGTTACTTTAGGGAAATCTTGAAACCTCTGTTTCTATCTTCTCTAGTAGGAACGTGAAATTAAATTATCATTCCTTTTTGTTTCCACCCTGCAGTAAGATAAAGCAATATGGTGAAAGCAATTGTTGACATTTTGAGCCTTAGTTATTTTGAGAAGCTTATGAAAGCTACCAGATTTTTCCCTAAGAAGAATGTACACACAGGGCTGTGGCTGGGGCTGGGGCTCAGTGGTAGTGCACTCACCTGGCACACGAGAGGCGCTGGGTTCGATCCTCAGCACCACATAAAAATAAAATAAAGGCATTGTGTCCACCTACAACTAAAAAAATACATATTTAAAAAACGTGCATACACCTTTTCAGATGCTCCACAGCTTCCTCCTTTCCCAAGTTCATTCATGAAACCCTGATGAAGAATGCTTGCCATACTGTTTTAAAGTGAAGTTCTGATCTCAGAGTGGTAGGTAAGGACAGAAGAGAAAAAAGTATATATTTTTTTTAATTTTAGCAACTGTCTGTGTGCTAGGCAAGGGAAATACACTGCCACACAAAGAACACAGTCCTTGCCATTAAGGAGCTCTTGACTGAAGTGCTGCAGATACTTAGTCACAGTCCAACATCACCTTTCTGTCATTGCCAAACATCATTTATTAATCTACCAAATGAAGTATGGCTCTAGCCCTGTTGTTACTGGCTCACAGTGTTTCTGAGAATTTATTACTTAAAGGTTTTGCTGCCAAAATGATTCTAATACCTGGAAACATAATCACTGCACTTGTTGACGGGTTCTTTCTCTCTCCCCTCTTCTCGCTCCCTCTCTCCAGGTTTCTCTCTTACTCTCATTTTCCCTTTCTCGTAGTCCTCTTCCTTCTCCAGTCTCTCTCCTCCCTCGGTTTCTGCCTCATCCCTCTTTGCTTTGTCTTTGTCTTGAGCTTTCTCTTCTGTTCTCACCCTCTCTGAGTTCCTGTCCAGGTGAAAGTGTAAGGAAGACTGTGTGTTCACACAGCCTGGAATAGAATGAGCAATTCTTCTTTTATGTTGCTATCATGAACTGCCCTCTGGGGTGTATCATTACTAGTTACAGCTCATTTTTATTGGCTTGGAAACACAGGATCTTCTGGGACCTGATTCTCCCAAGGGGCTATTGAACCGTTTCTTCCAGTTTGCCCAAGTTTGTTCCAATTGCTGATGGTTTACTGCAAATTAAAGCAGAAGGAGAGGAAGAATATAGCCTCTACTCATGCCTCGTTTACCTTTTCCTTCCCTTCCCATTTTCTCGATGTGGCAGATTGCTCAGTAACCCATAACACCCTTTTTTGACTCTTTGGTGCTGGCCATTCTGAAAGGAGCACCTATAATGGTGAAATTAATGCTTTGGTCGCACTAAGTGTGTCAGTCCTAGACCTTGCCTCCACAGGGGATCCCGTCAAGGTGAGACTGAGCTGGGAACCCACACTGGATGCTGGAGGGCCACAGTAAATGGCCTCATTAATAAAATACTTATAATTATTGATAAACAGGAAATGCAATTTTCTTCTGAATTGGGAATGACGGGACCATGTGCTTGCCATTCCACCCAAGTGAGCACTTTCCTCCACACAGGCTCAGGGCACCATGATGATGTGTGGCATATTTCAATTTCACTGTGTGACGTGATTAGCAGTAATTCAACAGTGACCTGCCTAATCGATTTCCTCTGTCCTTTCACAGAACCATGATGGCACCATCGACTTCAGAGAGTACGTGATTGGCCTGGCCGTCTTGTGTCACCCGGCCAACACAGAGGAGATCATCCAGGTGGCATTTAAGGTACTGTCAACCCCACTGATAGCACCTTGGTCAACAAGTGTTGATGCTAAGTGTATTATCTGAAAATCAGTGAATCTGTCCTGTGAGTTTATAGATCTACTGTGACATCTACAGGAGAATAATGTGATTAAGTCAGTTGCTCCTGAGAATAAAGAAAACACAAGTATTCATTCGTTTAAGCAAAAATGGAAGCAGCTAGGAAACAATATCTAGGTGGAAGAATGGGTGATTTAACAAATTAACTTTAAAGATTATTTCTTTTCAGCCTTTCCATTTTGAAGCCATCAAGTGAGGCTTATAAATACCATTTGTCACTAGTCATTCTGATTCACTATCTGGAAAATTCCGACCTGCCCTTATTTTCTCATTCTGTATGTCAGAAATATGTTAAGTGGCATCTGAGGTGGACTTCACGTTGCTGTCGAGATGTCAGGTGGACACCCTCCTGAATCTCCACGTTCCCACCTTCCTGTGTTAGCACATTATTTTCATGGAGGCAAGGGATCTAACTGGGAGCAAATGAGTAAAATCCGTGTCCCTGGCCCCCAGAAGAACTTGATGAAAGTATGAATTGTCGGGACCCAGACTTCATCTTCCACTCAGGAGTAGAAATGGAGAGGTATGTTTCGTTGTAAGAGTGAAGGTGCTTCATCTGTTTGTATTTGCACATGATGTTTCCTGCAGGTCCCAATCTCATGTGATCCCCTACAAGGTGAAGCACAGTCTCCGTCATGGACACTCGTGCATGCTCTTTGCTTTTTGCTATGGACCTTCTCTGACCATTTTCTGCTCTTCTCTTTCTGTCTCTGAGAAGGCTGTCCCACGGTGACTCCTGGCAGGGCTCTGCCACCCAGAGCTCTTTCTCATGTCTTGGAGGCCCCCAGGGGAAACCTCAGGAATTTCATGTGCTTCATCATTGATAACAGCTTCCCTGAGCTTACTGTTTATCCTGTGCTGGTTTAAACTCAGTTAACTGCGAGGCCTATAACCAACCTAAGTGGTTGATTCTTAGCAGATGGTCATAAGGCAAGGGCCAGAACTTCAGAAAAAGTTGCAAACCTTCAGCTTTTACAGACTTATGCATCATCAAACCCTAAAATTACACACATAACTAACTTATTCCAATCCAGATAGTTCTGTTTCTGTTATGGGATTGTATGTGTAATTATAAGTCTAGCTGGGCAGAGAGTCACCTTTGGTTTACCAATGAAAGACCTGATAGAAAATTTGACCCTTAAGTACAGTAATTACTGTTTTTAAAGAAGTCGTGAGAATTTTGTCTAGCCTAGACTTTGGTTTGGAGGTGGGGGAGGGAAGAAAGGAAGACTCAGAGCTATAGTTAGCTCTTTTTTCCAGTAAGGAGGGGGTCATGCTTCACATTGTTGTTTTTTTTCTTTTTTTTTTTAACCTTCTTTAACCTTTGTTTTCAAGTGTGTTTGTTTGGGAGATGTTTTTACATACTCCTGTTTCTCGGTTAGCAGGATCCTTTTATGCACAAGACCCTTCCCCATCCTTTCCTGGGCTGCCTCTGCAGTAACTGCTGTCTTTTACCTTACTTCACCTTCACAGCGACCTTTAGAGATAAAATATTAGTGGAGTTTTTCGTGTGTGAGTGACAGAGAGACTGGCCGACACCACAGTGGCATTAGTTGTAGGGCCAGGGAGTGGATGAAGGGAGCTCAGAGCTGGGCACCAGCAACTATCCCTGCTGCGGGCCCTGGGGAACCCTCCCTTGGGCGCCCCCATAGTTAAAGTGAACAAGCTGCAGCTCAGTTCATACTTCATCCTCCAGGGAGGGTCTGAATGGCCTTGGGCCACATATTTGGTGGGAGAGTCGGGAGGTTTGGATGCAGAGTCCTGCAGGGTTCTGTACAGTGGTAGGGGGTACCATTCCCCCAGAGGAAACCAGGGTGTCAGACTTTCCACCAAAGCACAGATCGCAGGTTTCCCATCAGTCTGGGAACTGGAGCAGGGAGACGCTGGAGCCATGGTGAGGGAGGGACCTGGGGTAGGTGTGGGAGAGGCAGAGGAGGTGAAGGGAGCCTGCGCAGAAGGGAGGGTCACCATGTGGCAGGGCCGGGGCTGTGGACAGAGGTTGTAGGGATTGCTCAGGAGTGGAAGGCCTTGAAGAAGCACCAGCGCTGATGAGGGGCGGTGCAGCCACTGCATCCCGCAGTTACCGTCCCTAGTCCAAGGTGCATAAGGACCGGGGCTCTTCAGGCGCTGATTCACTTCTCATTCTCCAACCATCTCCTGCCTGATCAAGAGCTGAGTGGTGGGAAATGACCTAGAATCTAGTGCTTTCTGCTCTGGGGACAAGAAGTTATGCCCCCGCCCAATGTGTGTGAATGATTAAAACACTACTTGCTGTGAGCCTGTTGTTCTTTTATAATTTTCATACCATATTTTTTTCTGATTTTCTCTGGTTTTGATCTTATTTTTAACCAGAAGTAGAGACCTCCACAGCAGGAACTCTAGACATTATCTGCCTGGATTTGAAGCCAGCTCTGCCACTTACAAGTTGTGTGACTTGAGCAAAGGTGCCTAAGTGTCTTGGGCTCCCACTGTCCCGTCTGTAAGCTGGGACTGACAGTGGCCCTCACGGAACGTGGACTGTGGTGGCCGGTTAAGAGCTAACACATGCACAGTGATCTGCAAACTTCCGGTCAGCACCTGTGAAGAGTTGTGCTGGCCCCATTGAAGTCTTAGGAGACCTTGGGACGTGAATTGCTTCTCGGTTGCCCCCTTTTGTTCCTGACCTTCAGCCTCTCCCGTTCGGCTGCCTTTTTCCCTCCACCCATGATCCGTTCTTCAAACGTTCCTGAAGACAGCCTCCCTCTGTGCCTGGCTACTACCTGGTTATCTCCACCCTTTACTGCTAATTTCTTAAAAGATGCGGTCATACCAGCTGCCTTTGCTCTTCTGTCCATCCCTTGATTCCCTGGACCACGTGGCTTCCAGTTCCCTGAAACTGTGGACTGAAGTCACCAAATCCGAGCAAACCTTTTTACCTCCTGCTTGATCTTTCTATGGCACTTTTCTCTGGTGGCCGTTACCACCATCAGAACCTCTTTCCTCAGCACGAAAACCTTCCCTTAGCGTCCAGGGTATGCACTCTTCTTCCTGGTCTCCTTCCAGTGCTTCTCCGTCTGTCTGTCTCTCTGCTCTTCACACACCTCGCCTGCCGCTGTCCCAGGGCTTTGCCTAACTGCATGTTCGCCACAGGTAATCAGTTCTCACCTGAATTCATAGCTCACGCCTCATCAGTCTCCTAAAGCAATATCTGAATCCCTCATTTACTCCTGGCTCCACTGGCTCAAATTTAACCTGCCCAGGTCCAGCTCTTGACCTCGCTCGCTCGTTCCCTCTCTGGGGTCACATAACCTGCTTTCACCCACTTGCCCGCCTAGAGTGCCTCAGCCATCTTTGAAGCCTTCCTCTCCGTCTGCACACCTCTTCCGCAGGTCCTGTCTCTTCTGCTTATCAGCTCTGCCCCTCCTGCCTTTCCTGCATATCTACCCCAAACTTAATTGGTTTTCTTGTCTGTAGCCTCACTTGTTGAGAGCCACAGCCCAAGGGGCCCCAGCAGACTTTCAGACTGCCAGCTGATGATTGGCTCACAGCGGCCCAGCAACTTCTAGCTGATTGGCTCCTCTGCTGTGATGCTCATTGGGGCTGTTTCCCCGCCCTTTCAGACTAGGGAGCTGCTCATTGGGGGACTTTTTTGGCTCCGCCCAGGGGACCCAGCCAATCGGCCTCAAGAGCAGGAGGAGTGGGGGAGGTAGAGGCCTGGGGAAACCGGTGGTGGCAGTTGGGCTCTGAAGGTTTTTCCTGAGGAGCTGTTTTGTTTGGCGTGTGTGGTTCTAAACATAAAGTTCGTTTCTTTTGACAAGTGGCTCCTGAATTGTGCCCAGCCAGACTGCGGCACTCACTCACCTCCTGCCACACCCCATTTCCAAGACTGCCTTCCGTTCATCGTCTGCAGGATTAGGTGACACACTTTGTATCTACCATGATCGCAGCGATCTGCCTCTCAGGCCCTTGACTTGGGCCCCAGGCAGTCGCCTGCCATTCCTGATATCTTCTGGGATATCTCCTCATGTTCTGAGACTTGGCTTTAATATCAACTCCTCCAGAAGCCAACAGGATTCACATGTCCCCGTGCCTCTATTTTAATTCTGGTTCTTTCTACCACTAAACATAAGTGTCGGAGTAGCAGAGCCCAAACTTTCTTCATTCATATATCTTGCCTGGGCACCATGAATGTTTGAATTATTGGAGTTTATTTTCCAAGATCATTCCATACCACAAAGGCTTAAGGAGACAAAGTCTTATATTTTATTTTATTTTTCCTCCAGCTCTTTGATATTGATGAGGATGGCTATATAACAAAGGAAGAGTTTTCTACCATTCTCCAGGCTTCCCTTGGGCTGCCCAGCCTCGATGTTTCGGGTCTCTTCAAGGAGATTGCCCAAGGAGACTCTGTTTCCTATGGTGAGTAGGCAGTAGGAGCTCCTCGTTTATACGGAGGGTATGACAGTGTTTCCTTTAACATATAGATTAATAGTAGCAATAACCGTGACCACGATGATGGTAGAGGTAGTGGTGTGACAGCAGAAGCAATACCTGATTACTGACCACTAGGCATCTTGTGATCATTCTCTATACATTAACTCAATTAATCTTCACAGCAAGCCTGTTTAATCAGTGTTCTTAATTACTTTTATTTGACTGAGGACAAAGAATATAAGTAAATTTTCTAAGATCATCGAGCCAAAGAACATCAGAGCCTGCACTATTGACTGTACCTTGGTGCCTCTTAGATCTGCTGCATGTGACAGCCATCAGCCTGGCATGACAACCCTGAACACGTTCATGAAACTGGTTGTAACTACATCCCCAGTAGAGGGTGTGGACCGAGGGACCAACAATGATAGGAGCCACACGGTCACAGTCACTGATGTTGACATGGCAGCTTATGTGAGCCTTTACATTCATGTCTCATGCCATCTCTTTTGCAGCCCCTGTGCGGGAGGGAAAATCATGGAGGAAGACCTGTGGTGGATGCCTGTGCCTTCTCCTGGTGGCCCAGGTCCACACGGCCACGCAGGCCAGGGAGGGCTGAAGGACAGGGAGCTAGCTCCCCTGGCGTTTGCATTCCTGCCCCGGCTTTGATGTGGCCCTGAGAGTTGGGCTGGCTTATCTTCCCCAGTCTTCCCCGTCAGGCCGGAGGGGGCTCCTTAATTTCTCATTACCTCCCCTCCCTGTAGGATGTTCAGAGTTTCAGCTTGCTGACTCCCTGGATGGGAAAGAACTCATACCGGCTTTTAACTACTGTCCTTTGGGCTGCCCCACATTTCTTTTTAGGTAACTAAGTACCTAGGGCCCTTAACCTATTGAGGGCATTAAAAAACACAAAAGGATGAAATGGGGGGAGTACTTGTACCAGGGTGAAGCTTCATAAACCCATGGATACTAATTCTGTGGCCATTTTCCTTTCACAAGGAAAATTCTTTATTACTCTGAATTACCAAATTTTGAAAAACTATTCAGCATAAGTATTTCAAAGAAAAAATAATACTACAAATGATTTGTCCTTTTAGGGAAGTATGCTTTGTTTTATGAAGTTCAGTCATTTTTTTCTTTTCAGAATATACAGAATGTCTCTTTCCCCAATATTGTACAAGTTCAGTTTTTTTTAGGAATGTTTGAGGTACTTGATCATTTCATTTTAAAAATAGGTGTTGACATGTGTCATGAATGTGATCCCTTAAACTCTTTTTGGTTTTCGATTAGTCAAAACCCAAATTCCACTTAGCCAACTGGAAATGAGATCCTCTTTAAGGCCACTGATATCCCAACAGATGATCTTAATCTTTTGAACTTTAGTTCAAGTCTTAAATTGAAGTTCTTTCTGTAAATCCACTGTCAAGCTCGGGTACCCTGAAAGTCACTTAGTTCTCTTCTCCATCAGCAAAATAGACTCATGTCGAATAGGACAGAGAAACTTCAAACTCGAGGGCAACATTGTATTTTACAAAACCCTAGTTCACTAGAGTCTTAAGATTCAAATCCTGGTAGTGACCTTAGTAAGCCTTCTACACCTCTGTTTCAGCTCTTAAATCTAAAACACTTGATAAAAAAGAAAAAAAAGTCCACTCCTCAGAGGTCTTATTCTATATGCCTTCCAAGCCATTGTCAATGATAAGCCAGGGCTCAGCTTTTCAAGACTGATCTTTCTATACCAGAGTTAAGTGCTAAAATAGCTTTCAAAGCCACTAATAATAGAAAATCCTGGGTAACAATTTGAAAAAAAAAATTATTACTGAAAGAAATAATTTAAAAGTTATAAATATTTTTATTACTCAAAATACAGAAAATGAAATAAAACATAGGACAAAATGAAGTTTTATAAAGCAAACACCCATGTAATTACCATTCAGATCAAGAAATAGAGCTTTTCCAGAATCCCGGAACCCTGTGTGCCCCTTCCCAACCACAACCCCTTCCTCACTTGTAAAGGAGGGGCCTGTTGCCCGGACTTTAAAAGGGCGCAGTGGCACAGGAGGTCGAGGTAGGAGGATCAAGAGTTCAGAGCCAGCCTCAGCAACTTAGCAAGACCCTGTCTCTAAATACAACGTAAAAAGAGCTGGGGATGTTGCTCAGTGGTTGAGTGCCCCTGGGTTCATCCCCAGTACTAAAAAGAAGAAAAAGGAAGGGGGCATCTCTGAGCTGGGCACTGGGCACCCATAGTCTCTGCTCCTCAGAAGGCTGAGAGAGGAGAACGGCCTGAGCTGGGAGCTTGAGATCAGCCTGGGCAGTGTAGGGAGCCAGCAGACAGGAAGTCTCTGCCCCGCTTTACCATTGCACCACAGATGTGTGCTGCTTTAAATACTGTATTTTAGTCTTGTCTAAGTTTTTTGAACTTCATATAAATGGACTCTTTCAATATGTATTCTTTTGTATCTGGCTTTTTTCAATCAGCATTACCCTTTTAAGATTCACCCACATGTTTTTGTCATATGGCTGTTCATCATTGCTGTATGATATTTATTATGTTCCATGAACATAAAATTTATCAGTTTCTGCTATTGATAGACCTTTGAGTTATTTCCGTTTTTTTTTTTTACCTATTATGAATAATGTTGCTATGAATATTCTCCTACATGTCCCCAAGAACACTATTTGCACAGATTTCTCTGGGCAGTGTATCTAAGAATAGAATTAATGCATCACAGAGTACGTGTATCTTCACGCTGAGTAGCTAATGGGAAACTGTCTTCCAAAGCGATGGATAAATTATGTTCCCCTGAGCCATGTGTGCGAGTGGAGTGACAGAGTTTTCCAACTGTATGATTAAAGTCTTTTGTTAATCTACATCCTATCGAAAGAAGGTTCACCCAATTGATTGGATTTTCTTTCCTCCTCTTCCAGAGGAATTCAAATGTTTTGCCTTAAGACATCCAGAATATGCTAAGATATTTACAACGTACTTAGACCTCCAGACAAGCCATGTGTACTCACTGCCCAGTGAAGTCCACACAGCTGCCTCGGTTGCAAGTAATAAAGTCTGTCCTGAAGATCATGAAGATAGGACCTCGGACAAAAAAGATGACTGAAAGCAGTGCCCCATGAAGAATATTGAAAGTATAAAAGCATTTATTGATAGTATTTCCAATGTGCATGTGAGGAATGATATTTAAAATTGGGAAGCTTTTTTATAAAAATGATAAGATTTCTTACTAAAAATGCTTTTATTAACCAGCAGATATGAAGTGACATTCCTTCTCTTCTATGTTATATTATGCTTTACTGGTTTGTTTGCCAGTGATAAATACTGTATATTTTTATGGATTTTTCAATTTCATTAGCGTTACCAAATGAATACACTGGCCATCCTAGTTACTGGTCAGCAATAATCAACACTGGAAAGAGTTTTAAAAAATACAAACACTGTTTAATCCACTTTCCTCTAAAAACCAGTAATACTGTGTTTCTCTAATTCCTCCCCTTTCTTAAAATAAGAAAAGTCTGAGAAGCATGGAAAAATGTTGTATCTTTGCACTCCACAGATTCATTTTTTCATCTAAATTTTGTTTCTTGGATCACCTACTGTGGGGAGGAAGGGCTCATTTTCTCTTTAACATTCATCTCTGTTGCAGATTTCTTTCAACCCACTTCTAAGGAAATCATATCTTTTTACGTGATCTACAGGGCTAGGACTTGTTTGAAAGCTGACTGCTGTGGCCAGAGGCTAGGTGGGAATCGCTGTGATTGAAGGGAACATTGATTGCCTAATGAGAAAATGAATTGTTTGTCACAGAGTTGAATTTAATTTGGATTGGATGGTTCAGAAGGTAGCACTTGTCTGATAAATAAATCAGATTGGTTCTATTTATGTGATAGTAGAATTAATATATTTTATCATCCAAGAGGGAGTTTTATTTGTTAAGTGTCTTCTCCAATTTTAGAGCTTGTCTGAAATATCTACATGATTAGCAGGAAGCTTCCAAAGTGTCACTAAATGCCAGAGAATTGAAAAACCTACTTTATTAATGCAAAACCACAGTTTATGCCCCAGGCAGGAATCCAGTGGTAACATTTCTCCTCCAGGTTAAGCAATAATTTCCCTGAAGTGCCATTTGTATTAGGTCTCATGTATGCATATTGCTAATATCACTTATATTTGAGATTTTGAACAAAGAACCAATTTATGAAAATAATGTACATAAATAGTTTGTTCTTATTCTGAATTCAGCCTTCGACACCAAACTCTTTGTTTTGGCTATGTTTCAGAATGTATTAATGATTCACCCCCAAGCTATTTTTTAAAAGTCATTTTTGAAGCTGAGAAGTATCATGAGAATGTCAGAGATTATATTTGATCAAGTGTCACGATTTTAAACTAGTTTTTACATAGTAAGCAGTTAGTTTTCTAAATTGATGGGTAAATATGTACTTCGGTAACTGAACACCAGAAAATTTCATCTATAAGTAAATGTAATTATTTACTTCTTATATGTTGAAAGCATTTAGAAAAGGTGTTAAGGTGAGTGGAAACAATTGATTAGGTAAAGTAATTACTAAATAATTTTAATAGTGTCTGTCATAAGTGATGAATGTATGTAATACTCAGGTACCATGATATTTTATCATGGAAAAAAAACCACCTAATTTTTATTAATCATTAAAGAATAGCATTATAAATTAAAGGCTTTCTTTCTGTAGGGCTTTTAAAAATGATCCTATCATTTTTCTGTTTTAAAATAATGGTTTATGCTCATTACTTCCACTTTTGAATGTAATGTTTCTATTTTATGATTCTGTTGCTGAATAAACCAACTTGCCACAGTAAACATTCTTGACTTCGCCGTTTTGTTGCCATGTACTATGCTTCTTAATATTATGTGTGAGATGTGTTTGCACTTGGAGGAGTTGATGAGTCATTTTATTTGCATTTTAGCTTCATGAAATGTCAGACATGGTAAAAACTCATTACCCCCAAGAAGCAATCCTTGTTATTCATACAGAACTTGGCTTTGCAGGGGTTGGATGTGCCCCCACACAGGCTGTGGTCAGCAGTCATCACAACTGGACAGGCCTCTCCTCGTGTCCCTCTTAACAGTGACTTCTTCCAGAAACACTTTTCTCCTCTTAAGATTTAAAGTGAAGAATTAAGTTTATTAAATCTGTTAAATGCTCTGTGGTTTTATATACTAATTTGGGGAGGGTATTTCACTGCATAATTGTCATAGATTTTATGCCAAATTTTTTGCAGAAAAGTAAGGCATGACCATTATGTGAAGTTTTTTTTAAATTATGCTGGTATTACTTAAAAGCCATTTATTACTACGCGGTCTTTGGTGCAAGGTTAGGATGTAAGGAATACTTGTGGATATACTCTAATGCCAGGACGACAGTTATGCAGCATGAAATGCCCTGTGCTTTCTTTGAAAAGAGAAATACTAGGCCCTAAAATCTATAAATCAGAAAAATTTCAGTCCAAACAGTTCTATTGAAAGATAATGACTTTGGAGACTTACAGACCAGGGTGCTTGTATTATGCATGTTTAAACTTCCTCTGCTACTTTTGGCCTTTTGGAGACGGCATATGCCAGTCCCTGGTGGTTCCTCTGAGGGAGGAGACTGCCTCCCTTTCAGAAGGCTCTGCTCTGCTCTCTGCATGAGGTTCCCAGACTCAGGAACCCTCCTCTTCAGACTCTTCAAATGCAAGGTGGTTAGTTGAAGGTAATTATTGGGATTGATGGGCTCTCTACTTCAAAGGTCCTTGGATATTTGTGTTTTGTATAGCAATCAGCAAAGAAGATCAAAACATACTTAAGAAACATTCCCTAGGAAGCGAACTTGCTTACAATCTTGGGCTTTTTCTCTTTCCTACTCACTTGGATAAAGTTTCTTATTTGTTTTTGTTGAATCATTACATCAGCATATTAATTAAATGCTCTGTTACTGCTTGATGGGATGAAGGCACTCCCAGAATTCTTGATACATATTCATTACACATATCACAAACTCCAGTAGAAAACTTGGAAGAATCCTGGTCCTTTTTATCCCATTTAATGTAAGTCTTGGGTCTAGGTAACCATTCTCTCCCGGCACAGTTCCCAAGTATCTGTGTGGAGATCCATATATTCTAACAATTTATTTCCATTGCATTTTGATATTCAGCTTGTTGATTTTTGCAATATTAGCTGCATCATTTTCTTATCGTTACTAGAAAAGAATTGATGCATGTTAGAAAAGAGAAAAAGTGGAGAAAAGAATAAACAAAAAAAATCACATTTACTTCTACCACCTTAAATCAATTGTTATTATACATTTAGCATATTTTATCTCACCTCTGTCTTGATGTTCTTGCATTCTCAAAATAACATTGTATGTGCTGAATAATGTCCTCTTTTTTATTTGTACAATAACTTCAATGTCATTAAAATTCTTTAATGTCACAAAAATTCTTTAAAATCTTTAAAATTCCAAAATAAATTTTAGAATTAATAAATAAAATAAATTCTAAAATTAATATTTCTTCAGAAATCTATAGAATTCTTTAATGTCATATTCTTTAGAATTTAAAAATTCTAAAGTAAATCTTAAAAATACCTAATATTTCTTCAGAAATATATAACACATGTACTTATATGTATATGTAACTTATATGTAACATTCATCTAACACTGAACATAGGAGTTAGAGTTTCATTTTGGGAGTATTCAAAACATACATGTCAATACTTCATAGTAATTCACAATTAGAAATAGTTGGTTAAGTGACTTATTTATACTTTGTCAATGTTAAGTTACTCTACTAAAGATTTTGTAATTGTTAAAATTTATTTTAAATGAATTTTATTACAGGAAAAAATTGAATTATCCTAGATTACATAGAGTATGATGATTTAAACTTCATGTAGGGATTAAAGGTAAGTGGATTTTATCTTTTTATAATATTTATTTTCCCCTTGTAAAAGTAACACAAACTGTAATAATAGCTACCATTTGAAGCACTCGCTCTGTATTACTCATTGTGCTAAGTGATTTACAGAAACAACTCACCTGAACACACAGTGAAGCATAGATATTTTTCTCCCTAATTTTATTTGACAAAATTTAGAACTTTTCCTAAGTCATTCATTGAATGGAAGAGCTTAGAATTAAACCAAATTTTGCCTGATTCCAGAGGCAATACTGTTAACCAAGTTTATAAAGCAGCATGTTTTATAGAATTTATAGATTTACATCTGCCATGTGTTTTCTTACTTATGGGTTCCAGATGCCGAATGTTGACTTGGTTCTTAAATGGAAGAGAGCAGAGGTGGTTCAGAGGGTTCTGATCAGCGGTGGAGATGGGAACAAGACTGAAAAACCACAGTCCAGTGAGGGTGACACTCCTGACCCTCTGTGGCCCAGGCGAGGTCAGCTGAAGGTACTGTGACCTTCCCATAAGGATAATAGTCCAGGTCACTCTGAATCCAAAGGAAGATGAACTTCAGGATACTACGCTAATCGTCTTCCTTGTGGTGCAACATGAATGGTCCCTTCCTGTCCTGGCTTTTTTAGTCACACCTCTGCTTTCAGAATAAGTGTGTGATCAATAAAGTAGAATCTGAGGGAACTGAGGACAAAGTCAAAATTGCAGTGAGGTCCTTCATCTTCAGCTGTTGGGGAATATCTTCATTTGCTGCTTCTAATTTTCCCCCTCTCATCAGTTCTCTTGACTTGGAGAAAGCACAGTGATCATTCCGGAGCATAACCCAGGTATCTCTTCTCCAGTCAGGTTGGTTTTCCCCCCAAAGCCTACCCATTGCTACTTGGATAACATCCAGATACTCGCCATGGCCTACAAAGCCCTGTATGGTCAGGCTTCAGCTTGCAGACTAGATCTCGATTGCTTTTCAAAATCCCCATCACGGAACTCTCAACATCAGGTCTTTCTTTCTCTCAAATTGGCTGAGCCCAATTCCAGCCTCAGTCTATACTTCTCTTCCTCAGCAGGCTTGCTCTTTCCCCAAGATTTTCACCCCACTTTCTCTTTTTTCATTTTTATGCAGTAGCTTTATTGGAATATAATTCGCCCATTTATAGTATATAATTTAGTGTATTTATTTAACAATCACCACTATCTAACTTTAGAACATTTTCATCTGCAGATTTTAAATCAAATGTCATATCATCAAATAGGAATTACCCATCATGGATCAGAAAAGCCTACTGTGTTTCTACAGACATTCTCAATCCTATTACCTTTCTTTTTATTGTACTTAAAATTATCTGGAATTATTTTCCGGTTGCATGCAAACTTAAGTTATTACATCCTCGTACGTAAAAGGTTCCCCAACACATAGTGAGCACTCAATATTTGATGAATGAATGAATGATAGCATCATTGCTTCTGCTTCTTGTGTGTCCTATGGTGTAAGTATAGAGAAAATCTTTACAGCAAACTTGAAAACCTGGAGTTATGATTTCTAAAACTCTTATAAATCAAAGCCCAGAGAAGTCTTATTCCTTTTTCAGAATTACATAATGGGAGAATACCAGGGCTGGAATTCAAGCCCAGTGCTGTCTGGCGCTAACCGAGGGAACTTTTGATTAGGCCAATGTAATTTGAACCCATCAAATAACTAAAGAATTATATGTCAGGTTTTATTTCAGTTCCAGAAAGAAGTAAACTAGATAATCTGAGAACCCTCTGGCCACAAAACCCTTAGAATGGTCAACAAAATGTCTCAGGCATATTTTGAAAGGCTCAGATAAGCCTGCAAGATGGAGGGAAATGCTCCTCAGACAAAAAGAAAATCTGAGGGCTGGGGCTGGGGCTGGGGCTCAGTGGCAGGCGCTCCCCTAGCATGTGTGGGGCACTGGGTTCGAATCTCAGCACCACACGTAAATAAATAAAATAAAGGTCCATTGGCAACTAAAAAGAAAAAAATTATTTTTAAATAAATGAAAGCCAAAATCTATGTAAAGGCTAATTGTCTTGTAGACATTTGTCAACCTCAGTAACACAGGGTTGGTGTCTTGTGGCCATGAGAGACAAAAGATAAGGTTTTTATATCAGGTGGGGACTTGGAACTGAGATCTCAGAGGAGAAAAGCAGACACTGAAAGGGGCTGAGCTAGCAACAGAGAAACCTGAACTGGAGAGATCCGTCTTCTGGCAAAGAAAGACAATGAGGGAGTTTTTCTGTCTTGGCCTGAGTTCTAGAATGAGCAGAAACCTCTGATTCATTTTTTTTCCATTTCAGTTTTTTTTTTTTTAAGTTTTAACCCTCACTTTCTAGCCCATTTGTATTACATCCTGGTGAGTGAGTGTGTGTACTTGAAAAGAACGTGTATTCTGCAATTACTGAATGTCGTGATCTATAAATACAGAGGCAGTTGGTTGATGGTGCTATGTGAGTTTGGTATTTTCTTAATAATTCTCTGGTCCACTTGTTCAGCATAATGGACACAGGAATATGAAGTTTCAAACTATGCTGTGGTTTTATCAGCTGTCAGCTGCTCTGATGCTCTGTTATTGGGTTTATGATCACTTTATTTTTTCTGTAATCTTGACTAGTTAACTCTCTTATCATGAAATGTTCCTCTAATTCTCTTATTATTATTCTGTTATTCATATTACTCACAGTCATGCCAACTTTGTTATGATTACGGTTGGCATGATTTATCTTTTTCTATTCTTATACTTTTAACCTGCCTGTATCTTTATTTGCAATATACATCTCAAATGGGTATTTGGTGGCCCATTTGGGTCCTGAGTTTGCTGTTGTGGTTTGTTTGTGGTGCTGGGGATTGAACCCAGGGCCTTATACATGCGAGGCAGGCACTCTACCAACT